CGTCATTTCTGTCCCTGTACATCAATACACAGCTGCAGCACCACGCCATCCCCTGCGAACTCCATACCCTCACATCTCCAGACTACCATCCTCTATGTGAACACTAGAAGTTGAGACCACACTCTAGACCTTCTGTCTTTTTCCCTACAACAACGGCTAGGCCGAGGCTAGCCACCACCATTCTCTCTGATGAGTTAACGTGGAACCCGATGACGAGGTGAGCGTGACTTGATTAGGATTTTATCTCAGTTTTTAATGACTTTTTCTAGATATTTGAGTGGTTTTTGAGTTAAAAACCGAGGGTTTAACCTTGTTCGTGTTTGTCCTTCGTTTTCCAGTTTTCCAGCGAGTGAAGTAGCGATGTTCCAGGCCGTTTTCCAGCCTTCTTCGGCACTCCTAGGTCTCGACTTGGGTATAAACCAATCCCTTACATTCCTAGCTTCAAGTACATATTTAGAACATTGAAATTGATTGGGATTTGAAGCTAATCAGAGCCGTGGAAGTTTCTCGGCCAAAATACAGGTGTTCTTCTTCGTTGGGTCTAGCGACCCGCAAGTCAAAACGGGTCAACCCGACCTGGCACATAAAAAGAAATAAAAAGGCCTGAAGCCCAAATCCAAGCCTTTGGCCCATTAACCCTTAACCCATATCCGACCCACTGCCATTTCAAAATCTAGAGGGAATATTCTTTTGGAATATTCCGTTAATTTTAACAGAATATTCCGTCTAAGAATGGAATACTCTGTTAAAGTTAACCGTTGACTGTTAGTTGACCTTTTCAAAAGTTCTCGGACACCCTCATAGGCTAATTTCAACACCATGAGTTCATTTTTAACATCCATTTAGTGAAATTTTGAAGTTTAAATATAGTTGACTGCCGGAATGACTCGGTTGACCTTTTAGGATTGACCATTGACTTTTCTGTTGACTTTTTGTAAAATTTGCCAGGGACCGTCCTGAGCGTATTTCGACCACAAGTAAAAGAGCAAAAAGATGCATCACTAAAATGACAGCTAAATTACTTATTAACACATTTCTCTTTTTTAAACTACCTATTAATAAAACCCTCTTTGTCAATCAAAAGAGGGTGAAAAGACCAAATTAACCTTATCAACAAAACTAAAGTAAAATGACCAAAATAAAAGTTATGGGTAATTTAGTAAATTAAGCACAAAATAATTTTACTGTTTTTTTTTCCAAGCTTCACAACCATACTAATTCTCAAATTAGAATTAATATTGTTAATATCTTGCAAATTCAATATAAAACTACTATAAGTAAGTATCTTGGTATCCAACATATTGTTTTCTAGAAAGACCAAGTTAATGGAAATGAGTTACTTAAGAGGGTAAAGCAAAAATTAGTTGGTTGGAAAGTGAGAACTCTTTTAAAAGCGGGGAGTCTTACTTTAATTAACTCTAATCTAATGGGTATGTCCCATCATGTTATGTCTTACTTTAAGTGTCCTAACAAGATTTGTTGACCTGTGCTTTGAAGAAAGTGGGCGGTCTGAAAGTTAGAAGATTGGATCATTTTAATAACGCTTGTCTTGCTAAATTGGGTTAGAAGGTGTTGACTGAGGATGATAATTGGTGGGTGAAGTTAGTCAAGAGTAAATATCTTAGAAAGGAAAATAGTTTGGATAATAAATTAGACAAAATCATTCTTTTGCTTGGAAATGTATCTTGAAAAGTAAGAATGTTGTTCTTAAGAGTATGAGATAGAGAGTGGGTAATGGTAAGGACATTTTGTTCTAGGCCCACAATTGGGTTTTTCCTTACCCTTTGTTCCATCTCTTACTTAGGATTGACAATCAAAACATTAATTGGGAGTTGAAAGTTAGTGACTTTATTGATAATAATTGTTGGGATGGGGGAAAGCTTTTGCAAGTGGTTCGTAATGAAATTGTGAGAAAATTTGTAATATTACAATTCCCTTACATGATTCCAAAGATGTGCTAGTTTGGGGTTCAAATACAAATGGTAAGTTCTCTATTAAATTGGCTACTTGGATTCAAAAAGGGACATTGACTCAAACTACAAAGCTTAAGTTAATTAATAAGATGTGAAAACTTAATATTCCTCCTAAAGTTAAGATGTTTGCATGGTTGTTCATTCGTGATACACTTCAGACTAGAAAAAGATTAAGTCGTATTGTGATTAATAATGATAAGACGTGTCCTTCTTGTAATTTCGAAGAGGAGGATCAAATGCATCTATTCTTTAATTGCGGTGTCATCAAATTGATTTAGGACCTTTGCTCAATTAAACCAAGCAATTTCACTAATGCTAACTTTGCTACGGTCATAAACTGGCTTAATTCTTTAAAGCACATTGATAAATAAGTTCATAGTGAATTAAGCTTGTGTTTGCTCCTTTGTTGGCAGATTTGAAATGACCGTAATAACATGGTGTTCATAAATGTTATGCCCATTTTAGTGAGATCTAAGTTACTAGCTATATCTATGGGTGAGCAATATCTTAATGCCAATTGTAAAGGTTTAAGAAGAAATACTGATGATATTTCCACGATCATTAAATGGCATCCTCTGAATTAGAGTTATATTAAGCTAAATTTTGACGGCTTAGTGGTTGGGGACAAGGCGGCAATGTGATTTGTCTTAAGGAATCCTAATGGGCACCTTATTGCCGGCGGAGCTTTAAATCTTGACAGTGCCACTATTTCTAAAATGGAGGCTAGGGCTCTCAAAGGGCCTTCTCTTTGTTCGGAGGAAGGGCTATACAAAGATTATGGTAGAATAAGACTCTAAGTTGGTCATTCAGTCAGTGTTTGACTAGGATGTGACGCCTTGGAGTCTGGTTCTTATTATTAAAGATATAAAGTAGACGACGACCAAATTTGCTTGCATTGATTGGAAACATATTTTTAGAAAAGCTAACTCTGTGGCGGATGCCTTCTCTCTCCCAAGCCTTCTTGTTGCTGATGTCATATTTTGGGATCACTGTATTCCTTCATTTGATCTTTATGCTCTACAATTTGATTTTGTAGGGAACGATTTTTGTGGCAAGTTTTCCCTTTAATATATTTTCTTGTTATTTTTAAAAAAAAGGACCATATTAGTTGCCCTCATTTTCTCTTCCACATTTTCTCCCATATAAAATAAACTTTTAGCGATGAAATAATTATTCAAAGCCAATCGCTAAAGATATGAACAACCTCTTCAGCGACTCAAAGTCGTCACCAAAAAGATTTAACGACTATCTTATATTTTCTTTCTTTTTAAATTTTAGTTTCAAAATATTAATAAGCACAAGCATATCATGTATACAATTTCTAGTAAGTATGAAGTATTGACCTTTGAAACTTTTATATACCAAACAAATAATTGTGCAATATTGGTGGTAAAAAAGCCATGAAAAAAAGGTCATAAGATGAGGACCAAGAAAAAATCAAACAAGTGTATAAAAGGCTTATGAGGGCTTGAATATACCAGCAAAATCTCTAGCAACCCACCCAAAGCCACCTTGTCCAATTTGTTTACACCAAGCCCCATCACAATTTAATTTAATTGTTCGAAACAGAGGCTTAATCCACTCGCCCCTGATCTCCCCACCTCCTTGAACCTGTCGACATGGCTGCTTCACTTTGTCCCCACCATCCTCAATCTCACGCCATTGTTGATGCAAGAGCTCCAAAGCAACATGAGGCTCCACATCAAGCTTGTCAAAAATCACACTATTTCTACGCTTCATATTCGTCAAAGACCACATACAATCCAACACATTAGTTTTTTGGCATCTTCAGTATCGTCATATTTACGACAAAGCCACTTCCAACACTCCAAGAAGTCACCACCCTCCACCATTACCAAATCCAAATCCAATTGGATTGGAGATCTAAACCAAAAAACACGGGCAAACAGACAATGGAAAAATAAATGTACTTGCGTTTCCATATCTTCCTCACAATGAGGACACAATGTCTCCAAACGAACACCATAGTGTTGCAAATTAGTACGCATTGCAAGAATGTTTTTGCATCCCTTCCATATAAAATGCAGTAGCTTTTGAAGGACCTTCAAGTGCCAAATTGCCGACCACACCGGATCCTTATTTTGTTCCCCACTAAATTTCCCCACACCTTTACGACCGAGCTCCCCGTTTTGATTCATCTCTTAAGCAACCATGTACCCCGATTTAACCAAATACACTCCATTCTTTGTGTAATGCCAAATAATTCTATCAGTACATCCGAGTTTGCTGAAAGGCATACTCAAAATAATACGGGCTTCCTCGTTGTTAAAACACCGTTCAATAATATCCTTTTTCCATATACCCCCGGGCACCACTAAATCCTCAACCCTTCCCGGCATCTCCACATGCCTCGAAAGGGGGTATCTCATGTTAGCTTCTTGTATATAATACATATATATATATATATATATTGTTAAATTGATCTACCTCTTAAAGGGTAGCTGTTATATAGGTACGTAAAATTGCTAAACTAGCATTACTCTTAACCAGTTGAAACAGGTACTTGTACTCAAAGCGACCCATTAGTTAATAGGCTACCAACAGGTTCACTTATTATCAATCCAAACTCATTAAGGTTCAACCCAAACACTTAATTTTTTGTGGCGTGTATGATTTTGCCAGGTATCGGGCCATTGAAAGAAGGCCTATAATATAATAGATTTTCTTGTACAACCAATTTATCATGTATAACTTGTCATTCATTGGATGTATACTATACTTTTTGAACACGAACAAATATATATCAGGCGATAAAATCACTAAAATTGAATACTCCATGAATGAGAAAAGATGGTGTAATCCACAAATCTCTTTCTACCTTTTACATACAACTCTCAATTTTCAATTGTTAAATTAAATGAATTGAATTAACAAGGTGCGTGAAGGTTAAAAATACGTGTGGATGGAAAATCCTCACATATATAGCATGATGCGTATAGGGCGGGCGTGTGGAATAGCATTGGAGCTTTTAGTAATTTTACCTGAAGCAGCCCACGTCCCAAACCCAAACCTACGAGCCACCAAAAAGCCCTTTTTGCTTACGGCATTTCTTCTGTTTGGCTGTCGTGGCAGTTGCCTCCTTCTCCTTCGCTACTACTCCCCTCAGTTAATACAATCGTTTTAGTGTTGTGTAACGATTAAACGACGACATATAGCCCTGCAGGGGAACCGGAAGGTTAAAACCCTAACCCTAGCTCTTTGGATTTTAGGGTTTTCAATCTCTGATTTCCAATTTCAGTTACTGCCATGGAAGCCGACGAGGAAGATGCTTCCAAGGTGAACGAGCCTTCGATTTCACTCCAAGACGACGCTTTACCGTTGCCTCATACAGGAGAGGAGCTCCGGAACACCGAATCACAATGCGACCCGGAGTCTGCACCTGAGCCCGAGCATGGCGGCTCGGGGCTTGGGGTCGAAGGAGAATCTGATTCGGTTGCGTCTTCGGTAGAGAGAGGCGATGGGGATGGAATTGGAGGAGGGTGTAAGGAGGGGGATACGGAAATGGTGGATGTGGCTGAGGCGGTGGCGGCGGCTGCGGAGACAGTTGAAACTGATGCAGTGGAGGATTTGCGGGTGGCGATGGAGAAGTCTGCTGCTGACGCGGGAGAGAAGATGGTGGTGGAAGAGGAGACGAATGTGATAGAAGGTCACGTGGCCGAGGACAAGGAGGTTGAGGAGGTGACGAATGTGGCTGAAAGTCACTTGAGAGAGGAAACGGAGGTCAAGGAGGAGATGCATGTGGCTGGAGGTCACGTGACAGAGGAAACTGAGGTGGAGGAGGAAATGACTGTGGCCGGTGGTCATGTGACAGAGGACACTGAGGTTGTGAAGGGGATGAATGTGGCTGAAGGTTATAGCACAGAGGAAGCTGAGGTTGGCGATGTGGATGATAAGGTACTGGAGACAGAGGTGAAGGTGTTGCCTGAGGAAGCTGCTGTGGCTAACTCGGACAAGCAGGAGGCTGAGGATTCTAATGTGGCTGAAACGGCTGAGGAGACTGTGCTTTCAGTGAAGGATGAAACAGAGCAAATGACGGGTGAAGCCAAGGGAGGTGAGGTTGAGGCCGAGACAGTGGGAGAGGAGACTGAGACCGAGGTGGAAGGAGAGGAGGATGGGAACGATGCGGTGGGAGAGGAGGATGGGAGCGAGGCGGTGGGAGAGGGGGATGGGAGCGAGGCGGTGGGAGAGGAGGATGTGAATGAGGCGGTGGGAGTGGAGGCAGAGGCCGAAGCGGAGGGAGAGGAGGCTGAGGCTGAAGCAGAAGGAGAGGAGGCTGAAGCAGGGGGAGATGATGAGGAGAATGCGGCAGACATGTTGGCTGAGACTGACACAGTTGGGGAGTTGGATATGGTTGATGATGTAATGGAGGAGACAACTGAGGCAGAGGAGACGGGGGCGGCAGAGGAAGAAGCAGAAGAAATGGAGGTGGAAGAGGAGGAGGAGACAAAAAGGGCCGGCAGTGGTGGGAAGAGGAAGCGTGTGAAGAGTTCTAAGGACACGGGAAAACTCCTTTCAAAGAAGAAAATGGAAGAGGATGTCTGTTTCATTTGCTTTGATGGGGGTGAGCTTGTGCTTTGTGACCGCAGGTCAGTTGAACTTTGCTTACTGTGTGTGCTTCTTTTGACGTTATTTCTGTGATTGGTTTATTGATTAGTTTAATTGGTGGTTTCAGGGGATGTCCCAAAGCATACCATCCTTCATGTGTTAATCGTGATGAGGCCTTCTTTCGAGCCAAGGGTCGATGGAATTGCGGTAAGTTGCTGCGGCTTAAGTCCTTAATTTTCTTTTCCTTTTCACCAAGTTTTATTGTTTTATTTAATTCTGATGTAGTACGTTAAGGGCCAGTAGACTATTAATGCACAATGTACTTGTTTGTACAATGTCTATTCAGGATTTTCTAGTATGCTCCGGGGTATTCTATAAACTGGGATTTGATGACTGTGATCTAACGGCCAACAATCCCAATATATTGGATACCCCTAAGTATAGTAGAATTTCATGTATATTCATAGTGGACATTCATTACTAAGTTTAAATGCATTTTGAACAAACATCCATTCAGCACATACACCTCATTAAACAATTCATCTAGTGGAATAGGCCTTTAAACTAAGACCCTTTGTAATCTTGAGGAGGCTTCAGTTTTCTGATCAGTTCCTAGATTTACCTTTGAGAATTTAGGTTCATCTCCTAGCTTCTGCTAAATTGAATTCTCTTTATTTTTATTTATTCCATATCTTCGTATGTTTGTTTCTTTGGTGATCATTTATGTGTTTGGCATGCGGTTTCTGTAGCTTCAAACTCCAGCTGCATTAGTGCTTCCTTGGTGCAGTGATGATTGAGTTAGTGTTTTTACGTTGTAAAATTATATTTTTGCTTTTCGTTTTCGTTTTTGATATTTGGTTTAAATTATATGAAAATGATATTTTATTAGTTGCTGGCTAGGTCTAAAATACTGTGATACTTTTGAAATATTTGTATTTTTTCAAGTAAGTGAATTTTTTTTGCATACTTTCAGTATCCTGAAGTATTGGACAGTTTGTGTCTAGTTAGAGTTGATTTGGAGCGGCATGTTTGTAATTATTGACCTGGAATATTATTATTCAGATGACTATTTGTTAATTGTCCTTCAACAGTTTGTGTGCTTTGAAGATATTAGTTAGTCTCCAAGTGATTATGTATTTGTCTGGAATTATGACTACAAGTACCCGCAAGATGTAGTTCTTTGTTTACTTTACAATTATAAAAATTTGAAATCGTTTACCAAGAGAAGGGCATTGCTTTCTGCAGAGAGGGATCAGTTTTTTGATCCTTGGTTTAGATTTTCTTTTATAATGACAAAGGTAGAAACAATTGCTGATGTAATGACCTATGACCGGCAGCTAAATAGGGAATTGAGGGACATTGTGTTTTGACCTATTACCAGGAGAGTTACAACTGCCTGTATAAGGTTATGTTATAATATAGAATGGGGACTTAAGCGGGTCAAATAAAATTCAAGTTTTGGGAAGAAATATATCAGGCATAAGTGTATCGTGTACAGTTAAGTTACTGTTAAAGTAACGTAACAAGTACCAAACTCCTACCAAGTACCTTAGCAAACCACTTTTAGGCAACACTTTATCAACTTCTTTTATTTTTTATTTTTTTATTTTTTATTTATTTTTATTCTTTACTCCTTTTTTCGGAAGAATTTTAAGGGTTCATGAAAGGTATTCAGCATTTACCTCGGTTCAGACTTCAGACTCTAGCCTTAACCTGGAAGTTATGTGTTTATCCGCTTCAATTTTTATTATTCATGTACTTTTAGTGAATCTAGTTGCCAGTGTCTTTTTTGAGAGAGATTGCAGGCATTATGGCTATTTTGAACTCGTCATCTTATAAGCACCAGTTCTTTTACATGTGTCACTGGGTTTCATCACTTAACGATGTTAACATCATTATAAAAATGCTTATTTGAAAATTATTTCAATTCTTTTGGTTGCTGGGCAGTATCTGATGTATTAATGAATGTATTTTAGGTTGGCACCTTTGTAGCAACTGTGAAAAGAGTGCCCACTACATGTGTTATACATGTACCTTTTCCTTGTGCAAGGCGTGTATCAAAGATGCTGATATCTTATGTGTTCGAGGAAACAAAGGCTTCTGTGAGACATGCATGAAAACTATCATGATGATTGAAAAGAATGAGCAAGGAAACAAGGACAAGGTATGATGCCCTCTTTCTTCTGTTATTCCCTAATCACTTTTGTATTTTCCTTTTGCTAGCATTGTCACGATTAGGGTCAAGGGTTATATCTTTCTTGGGAGTGTTTTAGCGTGTGAAAGTAGTGTGTCGTGAAGTTCATTTTTGCTACATCCTAATTAAATCAGTCAGCCAAAAGGGAAAAAAGAAACAACAAAGTGTATACATTTGGAGGTTTCGTAAGCCTCTGTATGTAATGAGGTTAGTGACTTCCCTTTCTTCTAATCGAAGGTGAACTGGGAACAGCAGTATCTTGGTTTCCCTGGTGATTTTTTCCTAGGGTTGTTGATGTCTGGGATTTGTCTTTATATGCTCTTTCCCTTGTTCTCATCTTGTTTTGTTTGAGTTCCCTTCTGGCAGACTGTAGTTCACTCGATGAACAATGTATCCAGTCAGTGCATATTGAGTTGCTTGAGTTTGTACAAGTCATATATCTGGAATTATATGTTGAATTATGTCAATAAATTTAAGGGAAGCTAGTTTGATTGAGTATTTTTTTTTGTAATATTTTTTTTATTTGTAAGAAATCTTTTATAATATGTTGGAAAATATGGCTTCAAGAATAAAGCATCTAATTGTAATTCCATGTATCGGTTTGAAACCTATGGCATAATAAAGTGTCTGGTTATAATTTTGTGCAAAAACGAACAAAAAAGAAAGGAAGATTAGATGTAATGTAGCTGAAAGCTCATGTGAAATGGTTGAGGTGTTGCATAGACTCACCCTATTAGAGATTATAGGTCTATCAATTCCTCTGTCGATAGTCCTTTGATACTTAACTGCTGCTGCCCAAGTTTTCATGCGACAGGGGAAATGTCGTTTTAATTTGTCATTGTACATATAAGTCAAAGTCAGAGTGTTTGTCTCTCCATTTGGTTGGGAATTCTCAGCAATGTCCACTTGTATAATTCTTGTGTGTCATGGTTTGAGTGGTATGTCATTAGACATTAGGTCTGGTCAATTTATTAAAATCAAAATTTAACATTACAATTTATAACATTAATCTTGTCCTTAACTATGTACTGTTTTCACTTCGCACGTTTAAACTGCTTGCAGTGGCATTCGTTTTATTCTTTTTTATCTTGTGCTTGTGCAGGATGAAGTCGATTTTGATGATAAAAGCAGCTGGGAGTACCTCTTCAAGGATTATTGGATAGACTTAAAAGAGAAGTTATCTCTAACACTTGATGACCTTGCTCAGGCCAAGAATCCAAGGAAAGGATCAACTGGACGTGCTAATAAACAGGAGTCACGTGATGAACCCTATGATGCTAATGATGGTGGAGGGTCTGATTCTGACAACTCTGAGAATTTGGATTTAGTTAACCCTAAAAAAAGAAAGTCCAAAAAACGAATGAGAACCCGTGCAAAGGGGAGGGATTCATCAAGTGCAGCTACAGCAACTGGCTCTGGAGGTCCATCTGCAGATGACAGTACAGGGTGGGCATCAAAGGAACTTCTGGAGTTTGTAATGCACATGAGAGATGGTGACGAGTCTGCTTTATCTCAGTTTGATGTCCAGGCTCTCTTGCTAGAATATATAAAAAGGAACAAACTTCGTGACCCTCGGCGAAAAAGTCAGATAGTTTGTGATATAAGGCTTCAAAATTTATTTGGGAAACCACGCGTTGGGCATTTTGAAATGTTAAAGCTTCTTGAATCCCACTTTCTTGTAAAAGAGGATGCTCACACTGATGATCTTCAAGGGAGTGTTGTTGATACCGATGACAATCAGTTGGAGGTTGATGGCAACTCTGATACCCCAGTAAAGGCCAGTAAAGATAAGAGACGTAAAGCACGTAAAAAGGGTGATGGGAAAGGACCTCAATCTAATATTGACGACTTTGCAGCCATTGATATGCATAACATCAATTTAATTTTCTTAAGGCGTAATTTAGTGGAAGATCTACTTGATGATCTGGATAACTTTCAAGACAAGGTTGTCGGCTCTTTTGTCAGAATTAGAATTTCTGGTAGTGGTCAAAAGCAAGATTTGTATAGGCTGGTGCAAGTTATAGGTAATTATTTGATTAATTGTCTTTCATTGTATTTTTGGCGTGGGCGACGAAGGCATTAAACTTTCAGAATCGTAAAGTTCATTGTCTAAATGATTTTCTGAACAGGTACATGCAAGGGTGCTGAGCCATATAAAGTTGGTAAAAGGATGACAGAGATCTTGCTAGAGATATTAAACTTAAACAAGACAGAGATCATTTCGATTGATATCATCTCAAACCAAGAGTTCACTGAGGTGATTTAGCATATAACTAACTATTTCCTTTCAATTCCAAACTTGGTTTAAAAATAAAATAAATGTGGCTCTTAAAGAGACATGATTTGGACATCCTTGTTCTCAAGGGCATGTCCTCCATTAGAAATAACATTAGAAAGACTGATAATGCTTGCCATTGGGCAAGAAATGGTACAAGGGAAACGTGAATAATTCTCACATCCAATCGAATGGATAGTGTAGTTTGCTTTTCCCTCTTTATTGGGAGAGACTGCAGCTTTATGTGCATCATAGTGAAGATTGCTGGAAAAGCAATTTTTGTTTGAATTTTTTTGTTTCTGCTTTCATTTAGAAATCACTTGTTTGATTATCACCTTGTTTCATTGTTTATTTTTAGGATGAATGCAAACGACTGCGTCAGAGCATAAAATGTGGACTTATCAACCGGCTTACTGTGGTATTTCTATTTTCTATTGTTACTTTTGTGTGTTGATGTTAATTTTTATTTTCTCCTGAGAAAGTGGTCGCTTGCAGGGTGATGTTCAAGACAAAGCAATGGTGCTCCAAGCAGTCAGAGTCAAAGATGTAAAACTCTTGCTCTTTTATCCCTTAAAGTTGCTTTCTCACTTGTAAACTTCTTTTCCTTCAATTTTTTATTTGCATCTTGGACATGTTCTATGTACTCTTAGGCTTGCACATGTTTCATGTCGCATCAGATGTTGGTAATTCATCTCAAAATTGAGCTCCATATTACAGCATTGACTTTAGGAATTGCAGTAGATTTGATTTCCCGGATAAAGTTTTAAAGTGTACTTAGGAAAGTTTTGTTTCACAGAAAAGGAAAGAAAAGAAAATATGATGATGCAAGGATGATGATGACGATGATGACGATGAAGAAAATATATACCTCCACTGAGTGTCCACTTAGGGAGAAGATTATAATATACTTTATTCATAAAAAGAACTGAATTCATTAACTAGTCTAAAATATACAAGATTTGTGGAATGCATACAATACAATGGAACTGAGAAGTTCCATTTATTGTTCATAAAAAGATATAGAAACCACTGATTAAAGGTAATTAAGCAAAGCTTTCCTTCCTCCAAATATATTAGATACAGTAAGTAGCCCTCCAATCTGCAAAAGTGACAAAGAAACAGTTTCTTGTAATCCAAATACATATGTTGCGTTACTGGCTCCTCATTATAAGAACCAGGGATCTTATGTTTCTGTAAATTGGTAAACTATATAATTTGGAAGCATGCAAAGACCAAATAATGCTTGTAGACTTTTAATATTAGTATAGGCTCATGTGGTTGCCAAATTCCAATCCCTTGAATTAGGTACGCTAGAAACTTACTCCACACTTAAGAAAGGACTTAGGTAGCGATCTGAACCAAGGTTTGTTTTATCTAATTTTTTAGCCCAAGTAGGCTTCTTTCTTCGTGTTTGGTTTTCCAACTTCAGTTATTGGCTTGTAAAGGGAAACGTAGCTTGGCATATTTGCTTACCACAATGGGTTTGATTATAGAGGTTATGGGGTCCTGGTTTCCAAGTTTAATTCTGATTGATTTTTTTATCTGTACCACCCATAAAGGCACAACAAAGAGGAGTAATTTTGGTGTTATTATGTTTTTCAATTTAGAAGATATTTGGGGTATGGTACACCATCACCATGTAATAAACTTGTCTAAGGTTGAGTACTAGCTGCTACTAGCACTATCGTGTAATGGTTTTCCACTCCATTTGTAAGTGGATCTGAAGGGTTGCATATGAAGCCTAGGTGAAGCAACTTATTTGCTTTTTCCAACTTAACTGGACATCTGAATGCTATTGATGTCGAGCTTCAACAGTTGCATTTCAAGTTGGTCTTGAACAAGTAAAGGCCGACCATTGAACCCCAAAAATCAAGCTTGCCGATTTTACTTGCTGAGCTTCGTAACCAATCAAGCTATGGATCCTTATTTAAGCCTTAAGTCTGTCATTCATAAATTTTCAAATGAAGTATAACACAGGGTGACATGGCATAAATACCTAATGTTGAGATAGGTAGGTGCTTTATTTTTGTAACCCTATGGTTGGGTTCCAGATCAACTCAAATATAAAACAAGCTCAATCCAGTCTTGAACTTGTGAGCAGATCAAGTTCATTGCAGCCATCCTCTGCCATTTGCTACCGGAGTTTTAATGTTTTCATGAAGAGATCAAAGACCTAACATGTCTGCAACATAGGAATATCGGCAAGAACTAGTTGCTTTTCCCCAATTAATTCCTAATAATCTCAACCAGATTTGTTCTTTAAGAAGGATTGTTTTTTCCTCTTCTTCTTAGATGCAATATGGATTCTGGCTCCTTTAGTGTTGACTCAACCCTTATTTTAAATCTTGTAGGTGTAAATTCAATATACATTATGCCCTCTGTTTTTCCTATAACTTGATTTTGATATTATTTTTGTAATAGTTTTCCTTGCTTTTCTTTGATGGATTTGGTTTTATTTATTTATTCTGATACAGTGGTTAGAAACGGAGATAGTTAGACTCAGCCATCTTCGTGATCGAGCCAGTGAAAAAGGGCGCAGGAAGGAATATCCTTTACTTTTCAAGTTTAATACATTTTTATTCACAATTTTTTTGTGGGAAAGTGATTTCTGCAGACCCTCCTTTTTTACCGTATAGTTCTACACATTCACTTTAATTTGGTCCTTGATTTGTTCACTCCAATGGCTGGAAAAAAGAGGGGTCTGCAAGAGGTGAAATATGGTGTGCAAAAATCATTTCTCTTTTCTTGGTGTGTGATATTTAAATGCATTACTCTCTTATTTACTTGCTTTCTGAGGCTGTGGCCTTCGATATAAATTGACCTGTTTCTTATATTAGTGATTTCCGGAAAACTTAAAAACTTTATATTGGTAAAGGCGGAAATTTTACCCTCGCATGTTTTTTTTTTTTCCTGCTATGATTAGAAGTAATCAGTGACACATGTGAAGGGATACTTTATACCAGTTGAGGTCTTCTTTTTCTTTATGTTTTGTTTTGGAGGGGAATTGGATGTTGCAATAAGCAGATGCATTTGGCCTTTTTCTCTCTTTGATTTTACAAGAAATTTTAGCACTCTAACTTTACAAGAAATTTTAGCTCCTTAATAGAGCATCAGATACCTATTTAATAGTTCCATCTGCCTTTTTCATTAGTTGATGCCAGAAACACGTATTTTCACTGTCAGTATAAAAAAATCCTATTAATTTCTTGATTCTTTGGAAAGAAAACCTTAAATTACCTTTTTCTTATTTTCTTTTTTTTTTATTTGTAATTTTTTGGAGATGCTTTTGTTGTATATATATATATATATATATGTATGTATGTATGTATATCCCACTTAATGGGATAAGGCTTCTTTGTTGTTGCTGCTACTGCTTTTGTTGTATATGGTAATTTTTTTTTTTAATGGCCAATGTTGTATATGGTACTTTAAGATGACTAGGAATAGGTATGATGTAAAATCCTTAACTTTCTTTTCACGCTTAGAGAGTGTGTAGAGAAGTTGCAGCTTCTGAAGACGCCTGAGGAACGCCAGCGTAGACTAGAGGAAACTCTAGAAATACATGCGGATCCAAATATGGACCCAAGTTATGAATCTGAGGAGGAGGAAGACGAAGGAGATGACAAGAGACAAGGTCCCATTTCTTTTTCTTCTTTTTTTTTTTTTTTTTTTGGGAATTTTTATACCTTTAATTCTCTAGTGCTATTTTCTTTTTCATTAATTCAATCATAATTTTTTAACTGAAACGATAGCGATAATCCAGTCATTATTTCAGTCATTAATAACATAGCTTTCAACCCATGCAGATAGTTACACGAGACCTACAGGTTTTTCCTTTGGAAGGAAAGGGAGGGATCCAATTTCTCCACGAAGAGGAGGATCTTCTTTTAATGATTCCTGGAGTGGGACAAAGAATTATTCCAATACGAATCGAGAGTTAAGCAGGAGTACGTCAAATAAGGGATTCTACAACAAAGCAGAAAATACAACTGGAGCTGGTGAGAGAGTGAATGATTCATGGGGTCAAGGAAGAGACAGAGAAACGCAGCAAACAAGCCACTGGGAGAAGAAACAAATTATTTCAAGTTTAGAAACAGGTGTTAAGAGTACGCAGTCTGTGGTACAATCTGAATCATCTCCTGGTGGTGGCTCAGGAAATTCAGTTGCACATTTCACCACTGGCGCAGCGCAATCTACACCCACTATCAATGATTCAGAAAAAATATGGCATTACAAGGATCCTTCCGGGAAAATTCAGGGACCATTTTCCATGGCACAGCTACGCAAATGGAATAACACTGGCTATTTTCCTGCCAACTTGAGAGTTTGGAAAAACACTGAGAAGGAAGAAGATTCTATCCTGGTAACTGATGTATTGGCTGGAAAGTTCCAGAAAGACCCTTCACTGGTTGACATTAGTTTTCTAAAGGCCCAAATGGTGCATGATTCATGTCTCTCACCTGCACCATCTGGGAAGCCTCAAGGAGGTCTCTTTCAACGGGGTACAGAAGGCCAAGCTGCAGGAGGAAGTTGGGGATCTGAAAACGAAATTACTTCATCCTCAGCCAGAGGTACTCCATCATCAGTTGAGGTTCCTAAGTATTCTTCAGATGGGTGGGGCACAACAAACTTTCCCTCACCTACTCCATCCCAAACTCCATTAGGTGGGGCAAGGGGTCAAGCTTATGAAAGTAATTGGTCACCCACCCCTGTTCATCCAACTGGCTCTGTCTTGGGTGGAAATGGAGTGATGCAACCTAGTACAGTAGCTACTCCAGAAAGTGCATTGCGAGTTTCTGGAATTGATCGCTCAAGCTCTCTTTCCGGCATTAATGCAGCACCCAAGTCTGAAACTGCTGTGCTTCTGGGCTCTACAAATACTCTTCAAATGCATGGTCAAGTAAATGCTTCAATGAATCAAGTAACAGATGTGAAAAATCTTGTTTCAAATCTGCAAAATCTGGTACAGACTGTTACTAATCGTACTCCCGGTGGTGATGCTCGAGGGTGGGCTTCTGGTTCAGTTCCAAAACAGGAAATGACTGCTCCAGGGCCAGCACCTGGGAGTGAAACTCAACCCTGGGCAGGTGCTCCTTCCCAGAGGATAGAACCAATTAATGCTTCTACTATGCCTGCACAACATCCGGCCCATGGTTACTGGGGTAACGCTTCATCTACTAACAATGCTACCCAGTCTATTAATACAGGAAATGCAGCTGGAAATTTGCCTTCATCAGGCTTCTCTGGTGTTCCACAGTCTGATCCTTGGAGACCCCAAGTCCCAGCTAATCAATCATACATTCAGCCTCCTGCACCATCGCCCCAGGTACCTTGGAACATGGGTGTCCCAGATAACCAAAGTTCTCTGCCAAGAAAGGGGCAAGAGAATCAAAACGCTGGTTGGGCGCCAATTGGGGGAAATCCAAACATGGCCTGGAGAGGACAAGTGCCAGGAAATACAAACATGAATTGGGGAGCTCCGGGACAGGGTCCAGGGTGGGCTGGACCTGGTCAAGGTCCAGTACCTGGAAATGCAGCGCCTAATTGGGTCCAACCTGCTGCTCAAGGACCTCCTTCGTTAAGTGGAAATCCCGGTTGGGCTCCATCTGGTCAAGGGCCAGCAGTTGCGAACACCAATCCTGGTTGGGGTGGGCAAACTCAGAATGGAGGAGATAGGTTCCCAAATCAAAGGGATCGCGCTCCGCATGGCGGAGATTCTGGTTATGGTGGCGGAAAGCCCTGGAATAGGCAGTCGTCCTTTGGTAGTGGTGGTGGTGGCGGCGGGGGAGGAGGGTCTTCGAGGCTACCTTTCAAAGGGCCCAGAGTGTGCAAGTTCTTTGAGAGTGGTCACTGCAAGAAGGGCGCAGCGTGTGATTATCTCCACCCGGACCAGTAAGATTTTTGGGAACACAGAAGCAGCAGCAGCAGAAGAGCAGTTCATAGTGTACAGCAAATTTCCCATGGAAGAGTTTTGACTTTTGTATAAAACCTTTGTTTTGTTAATCTTTTAATTACAATGACAAGGTTAGTTTAGTGTATTATGCTTTGTTTGGTCTTTCCTACATTCTTCGTTACTGTTTAGATATTCCAATGTGTTACAATCATGGGTGATCTTGATGCATGTAAGATTTCTTGTACTCTAAAGAGCGGAAAGAAATGCAAGTTTTTTATAAATAGAGGGAGATTCGAACTCGCATATCTATCAAGTAGGCGTATCTCAATATTAACACATCAATTGATCCTCCCTCGCAACTGTCATAATGACATCGGAGCCATAATCTCATGACTCCGTGAGTGGATTAAAAACATGAACGAGGATCGTTATGGTGACATAAAAGTCGGTTACGATTTACACATGTTTTAGCGCGTACTTTTGTACCGCACGTTCAGCATCGAACCGTCGAGGACATTCTACTATTCTAGCGCAGATGACAAGGAGGGAAGTGAAAAAACAACATCAGACAAACGAACAAGTAAATAGCAGGAGATTGGGAATTCATTGATGATTCTCAGCTGAATCATTGATGGATTTGATGGTCATGTTAATCCAATCACGCAAAAATAAAGGCAATTATTTGTGTCCAAAACATGGACACCAATTATTCGTGGAAAAAGAAAAGTGCAGATGGGAAATGCCCAACTCAGAAAATCAAAAGTGCAAATGAAAAAATCCCAGTTCAGAAAAATTATGGTCCGATTGTTACTCATCTTCCTAGATGAACAAACCAAGAGCATGAATTCAGAAAAATACAAAAAACATGAAAAACAGGGGAGTCTACCGGGAAATGCTCTGAACTCATGATAGGACTGTTCATCTCCTATGGTTTGGTGTGAAAAGAAATCTGAGGGGGAAGGTTGGATTGTTGATAGCATTGGTATTTATATCACCCACACTCAAATCAGTCAAAATCCTTCATTCACAAAAATCCTAGCAAATGTTTGACATTTCCACTACACCTAGATTTGTATGAACTTTTTAAACTTTTAATTAACTACCCATGGATTTGGATGTATTCTTTAAATCCTCTAAAATCCTAATTTAACTACCCTATGATTTTAAAATCATTTAAAATCCATATTCAAACTCCTAATTGACTACACTCTGATTTTAAAGTTTATTAAAATACTAACAAATTTTAATTTGACTACACCCCTTTAGTCTTAATTTCGGATAAGATTTCTAACCCATCTTGTCACGTTACGTGTCATTATCCGAAAATATTATTCTGTGGATAGATTTCCGGTAAGATTTTTAACTAATCTCGACGCTGCATGTGTCACTATCTGTTTACAATAATTTAGCCAAAATTTCGATCAGATTTTCAACCAATCTTATCATGCCAAGTGTCATTATCCGAATGTACTATTTTATGGATAGATTTCCAATAAGATTTTTAACCAATTTCGACACGCCACATGTCACTATTTGCTTACAATAATTTAGCCAAGATTTCGATAAGATTTTTAACCCATCTTGTCACGTTACGTGTCATTATCCGAAAATATTATTCTGTGGATAGATTTCCGGTAAGATTTTTAACTAATCTCGACGCCGTATGTGTCACTATTTGTTTACAATAATTTAGCCAAAATTTCGATCAGATTTTCAACCAATCTTATCATGCCAAGTGTCATTATCCGAATGTACTATTTTATGGATAGATTTCCAATAAGATTTTTAACCAATTTCGACACGTCACATGTCACTATTTGTTTACAATAATTTAGCCAAAATTTCGATAAGATTTTCAACTAATCACGTAGTGCCACATGGCATTGTCCAGAACCTTATCCTGTCTTTTTTTTGTCTATATAAACCCTATATTCATCATCATTTACTGAACTCAATCCTTTTTTTTTAGCTCATGATCCTTTCTTATTGTTTTTAAATCTTGAATTCTTATAATATTTTTTTTAAGAAGATTGTATGAAATCGATGAGCAATAGAAAAAAGTATTGGCACAACAGGAAGAATTGTTCAATCTGGAGAAAGGTGGAGATGAGGTTTTCGCAATGGAAGAGGATAAGAATGATGGTTGGAGATGAGGGTTGTACAATTTTAATTTTAATTTTTACTTTATGCTTCAATTATTTATATGTGTTGTTTCAGTTACCCACAAACTCGCATAACATATAATTTTAGGATGACGGATGGAGTCGCGAAACTACGGTTGGCTGTAAGAGTATTGAAAGGGTATGTCAAATTTTAAACATAAAATTGAAATTTGATAACATATGTGATAATTTGATATTTTTTAAAATTTTTACCCCCACTTCACATACCAAATTAAATTATTATTTTATTACATTATTTCTTTTTATAATTTTTATTTTACAATTGTGAAACCCTAAATCACAATTCCTTGTTTCAATCTTGTGTTGCAGAAATTAAACTTTTGTGGTTGTGTGGATCAAGATCGAAGAGAAATCCCACTCCTCCTCCTCCTCTCTCAACCCTTCTTCCGCCGGCCCACCCAAGAAAAAGGCCAAGTCGCAGGCGGTGGCCTGTTCCCTCGATCCCAGCAAAAATGGCCTCCACCACCTTCACCACCACCACCATCACACTCACCCATCCCAGGACCCCAATAACGATGCTGTATTTGACCCCTCTTCCATGTCCCTCGACGAAGATCTCTAGCCAAACGACCCCTCTTCCCGAGGCATCGCTGCCAATTTGTCCCCAAAAAAGGGACAGCCCCCTCAGCCCTCTACCAAGAAGCTTGTCATCAAGCTCGTCAAAGGTAAGCCTTCTCGATCCTAATACGATGTCGTATTTTGGGGCCAATTTTGATATACTGGGATCAGATAGTCATTTCTAGGTTTTGTAGGATTGGAGAGGACTCTGCAAATGGTTAGAGACGAAGAAGTTTGAAGGTTTTGGAATTCCAGGTGAAATGAATTAAAAATATTTGATGTTGCTGTCAAATTTTGTGGGCTGTTATTCTATATCATGACACATTAGATTTGGTTTTTTGATTGAAATTTTTTTGTTGCTGTCTTTTATAATTATTAAAGCTGATTTGAACATTTTTACAGTTTCTTTGAAGATGCTTTAACTGTCTATTAAATTAGAGCATTAGAAAATATTTGTGTACTCACTACGGAGTACCCAATTTCCTGACCAAATGACATGGCCCTGTGAAATGGGAACAGCTGTCCCTTTTAATTCTATATTAAACTTTTGCTATGTTGAGAACCAAACAGCCCTTTTTTCCTCCTATTACCTTTGCCATGTTAAATATGGACAAACCCTATCCTCTTCCAACCTTGGTCAACCCCACCCCGTGACCTTGTCGGCTCCGGCATCATGTGCAAGCTTCAAGCTCACTCGCCAAGCCGACGTCGATTCCTTAACCGAGATATCCCAATCTGTAATCCTCTCAAATTTCGTCGACATAGTCTCACTGCTGGGTGAAGTCATCGGTGGGAGGAGGGTGGGTGGGCTTGGTGGTGGTGAGAGAGGACCGTGGCTTGGGATAATGGGATGGAACGGAACTCATGGAGGGCTAGTAATTTGCTGAATCGAATCGTATTATTATTCGATTTTTATTAATCCATCTATTGTTATTTGTAAAATCTTCAATTCACCTATCTTTTAGTTTTTCAATAACCCGTGTCTTTGATGAAAGCCCAACTTATTAGCTCCAACATCAACAACTATATGTACCGAGGAACAGTCAGCCCCGACCACCATTCCGAATCGTCCATCAGTCAGACCTCACCTCCATTCCGGATCGTCGGACAGTCATTCGGGATTGTCCATCAGTCAGGTCCAACTGGCAATCTGGATCATCTATCATTGAGGTCCAATTGCATTTTTTCCCTATTTAAAACATCACTCTAGGGTTTAGGAAAAATCTTACATACATTTTCTCAGACTGTAGAACTCCTGACTCCCCATCATCTCCATGTTGCGCTGCGCTTCGGTGGCCTCCGCTATGCTACAATGCTCCGCCGGCCATTTATTGCTGGAGAAGCAGAACCCTACCTCCCTGCCTACAACCTTAATTAGAGGGCCGCCTACCATCTCTCCTGTCTCAATCATAGGATCTTAGTAAATCTCCTTTTACTTGAATGTTGTTTTTCGTGGAAATTAAGCTCATTATTATTTACAAATTTAGCTGTCATATATTACCATTTTTAATTTGTTCATAAAAAGTTAAAAACTGATATATGAAAATTTGTCAAGTTGGATTTGGTTGATGACATGACAAAAACCAACTTTCCTCCAACATTAAGCATCTTTATACCATGAGAGTTATAGGAAAACAAAAGATCTTTGTCTCAAACTTTCTGTGCAATCTTCATAATGCAATCAATGGACTTTAATTCAACAAAGAGAACAAATTGAACATAGTAGCTATCATTCAAAGAAGTCGTCGGATGTCCAAAATTATCAACGATTTAATATAACATTTTTTATTAGTGGTTTTGTAACACTGTTTCTTATTTAATTTAACATTGTTTCCAATTCATATTATTACTTTTTCAAATCTGTCAACTTACTGTATTTATATGTTTTTTTTTCTTTTTAGTATCTGACATTGTTAACAAGGTGGACAATTTGAAAAGAAAAGTGGTTGCTGCAAGAGCAGGAAATGTGTATTATTTGAAGTTATGAGTTTTTAAAATACTAAAGGAAAATTTTTCTAAAGGCAATGGTTGTCTTAAGGAGGTACTCAATAAAGGAATCCATTATGTAAATCAGTTGGAGTGTCATAAAAGTATAGCCTTTATGGTAATGGGATTTGATGATGAGATTAGTCATATGTTTCATCCTTGCTATTCACAGGAAAATGGTTCATTTCCGATAAGAATATTAGTGTAAAAGTCTAGGTTTTTTGCTATTTAATCAGGTGTGATGTACGGAACACAGTATGTCAAGTCTAAATTGTGTAAACTAAGTTGTATCGATGTCAAATCTACTTTAAAGTTAGCCGAATGTGCACTTCCACTTACTTGCATGAATGATCCATCCACTGGTGGTCACATTAATTTAAAACCAGTTATGTGACCTCAGTTAATGGATCATTCATGCAAGCAAGTAGAACTGCATATTCAGCTAACTTCAAAGTAGATTTGACATCGATACGACTAAGTTTACACAATTTAGACTTAACATTCTGCATTACGTACATCGCACCTGATCCAATGGCAAAGAAACTAGAATTTTCCACTAATATTCTATTTAGAAGTGAATCATTTTCCTTTAAATAGCAAAAAAGATGAAACATATGACTAATCCCATTACTATAAAAGTTATACTTTCATCACACTCCCAACTGATTTACATAATAAATTCCTTGATTGAGTACCTCCTTAAGACAACCATTGCCTTTAGAAAAATTTGCCTTTGGTATTTTAAAAACTCCCAACTTCAAATAGTAAACATTTCTTGCTCTTGCAATAACCACTTTTCTTTTCAAATAGTTCACCTTATTAGCAATGTCCGATACTAAAAAGAGAAAAAAAAAACATATAAATATAGCAAGTTGATAGATTTAAAAAGTAATAATATGAATTGGAAACAATGTTAAATTAAATAAGAAACAATGTTACAAAACCACTAAAAAGAATTGTTATATTAAACCGTTGATAATTTTGGATATCCAATGACTTCTTTGAATGATGGCTACTATCTTCAATTAGTTCTCTTTGTTGAATTAAAGTCTATTGATTCCGTTATGAAGATTGCACAGAAAGTTCGAGACAAAGATCTTTTGTTTGCCTATAACTCTGATGGTATAAAGATGCTTAATATTGGAGGAAAGTTCGTTTTTATCATGCCATCAACCAAATCCAGCTTGGCAAACATGAGGGGCTTTCTGCCATCTATAGATTATAGTTTTAATGTTTAGTTTTATGAAACAGACTTAAAATTTTGTTTTTAAAACTGTGCTTTGTTAATTTTGCTGGAAGTGTTTGTGATTGAGTTTAATTTACTGGTACTGTAACATAATGTATTGCTGCCATTTAAAACTATTCTAAACTCTGAATTTATTGTCAAGTTGTACTTTTGGTTTGGTTGTGCACTTTTTCCCATTATAATAAGGAATGATGTTGACCTTGCTGGACGTCGAACAAGACTATGTTGGTCTAATGAGGATGAAACTGCTCAAGGTTTGGAGTCGTTTCTTAAAGCATTTGCCAGAATAGACTACTTGGCCCCTGTCATGGTTTAAGGGTGAGCTGTGCATTACAGTGGTTGTTGCTGGATTATAATTTAAGGTTTACTTTCCCCCTGTTTGTAACATTCTCTTTTGTTTATCACTGGACTGGTTGGTGTTCCTGGTGCAGCCCGTGATATATTCAGTGCCGTAAAGGATGTTGGGGCTAATGTTATTATGATATCTCAGGTTATGTCATCCTCTGAATTTGTGTTCATGGTATATGCTGAAGGAAGTAAATGCTGTTTCTGAGTTCCTGCAGTCTAGATTTTGAATCTGGGTGTCTTTCTCAGGTGTTTGCTTTTTATTTGACTAATGTTCTTGACCAGGTTGCTCGATATGTAAATTAAGCAGATCAAGGATAATGTACTGACACTAACAATTAGTTTATTGTTTACTTGTGAAAAACCTTATCGGACCCATATTTTGTGGATCAGTTAAAGAATTATAAGAAGAGTTGAAAATGGTGACATGAATTTTAATGTGAATTAATGTGTTGGTTTGTATTCAGATATGTTTTATTCCATTCTTAACTGATTCCCACATTGAAATTTTTACTGCACTCTATTTTTTATTTTATTTTACTTATGTTTGAATGTATCTTTGTGGTCATTTTTTAATACCAATTTCTGGCACCGCTTCCCTCTCAGGTTCAAGTCATTCCAAACTGTAGTATTTTGGCAGCAGTTGGCCAAAAAATTGCCTGTACTCCAAGAGTTAGTGCAACTCTTTTCAATGCACTGGCAAAGGTTAGGGATTTATTATCATTTTATTAATTTTGGCAACAAGTTGGATTATTTTATTGATTTAACATTTCATGGTTTGTACACTGGTTTACAATCCGGGCTACTGTAGACTTTGATTCTACGCGTTTCTCATAATCCATTATTTACAATACGAAGGGATCTAATCTGTTTTATGAAATGCAGGCAAACATTAATGTGTGTGCAATTGCTCATGGTTGTACTGAGTACAAAATTACTGTAGTGATAAAGCAGGAGGATTGTTTTAGGGCTCCGAGAGCAGTCCATTTTAGATTATATCTTTCAAGAACTGCAATAGCAGTGGGCAATATCCGACCTGCTCTGATTGGTGTCACATTATTCGATCAGTTAAGGGATCAGGTACTTAATTTCCCTTTTTCTTCAGTTATTATAAGGCTGTTGTATAATATTGCACATGTAAGGTCAACTGTTATTGAAAATATTCATGACACTTTGGAGTTTAGAATTTTGAGGTGCTCAGTTTTGTTAGAGTCTGTCGTTCTGCGTGCTTTGTTGGTGGCCTTTTCTGGTTATTGCATATGAGTTTCCATCCTAGTCTGATTTAAGATTTGAAAGCAGCAAGATGTACTGATTCATTCTTCTCCTGTTTATGTGGTGGGATATGCACATCTAGTTTGTGCAAAGAAAACACGGTCAAATGAATGGTCAAAAACATTCTGAGGCCATGCATGTTGTTCATTTACAGCCACATGCAATTCAAAATTTGGTTTTACGGCCCCCAATTGAGTTATCCTCTCTGACTTTCATCATGTTCGTGATAAGTTGTATATTGCTGCTTGCTTATAAACCAAACTTTGATGAAAACTAGGTACTTTGAATTTCTTTTATTTGTGTGTGCAATTCATTAAAATTAAAATTTTCAAATCTCTGCATATAGCTACCCTCAAGGAAGAGTTTAACATTGATTTGTGTGTTATGGGAATTGCTGGCTACGGACAATGCTTTTGAATGAGGCGTAAGTAAAAAAGCTTTCAATGGAATATGATTTAATCAAATGCTTTGCATATTCTGAAGTAGACCTTGGAGTGGTGGTGGTCTTAATTCATATGTGTTGTTAATGAAATGTTTTTGACTTGATAATTGACCAACGTGCTTCCTTTAGCAGCGGAAGTTGCTCCTTTCTACAGTCCGAAGTTGCTCCTTTCTACAGTCCAATTAGTATATCTACGTACGTTTTATAAGTTTTTCTCTTTGTTAGTCATTTCCAATTTCATCCTTTTCCATTGTATTTTTTATATTTAATTTACAAAAATAAAGTCATCCATTGCTTTGTAGAGGCAGTAATTAGTTCAAATACATTTACTTCTTAAGTCATTGTCATTCTATAGTTTCACTTTGAGTGCCATAATTTACTTTTTAATTTTTCATTGTTGTAGGGTTGTTGACTTATCTAGATGGAGAGAACTCCGAAAAGAGAAAGGAGTTTTAGCAGATATGGAAAAGTTTGTGCAGCATGTACATGGGAATCATGTTATTCCAAATACTGTTTTGGTTGACCGCACAGCTGACTCTATTCTTGCAAGTCATTGCAATGACCGGTTGTGGTCACGAAGTCACTCCTGACAAAAAGGTAAATTCAGGGCCGCTTGATCTAGTAATATCTCCTTTTATACTTGCAAATTTCTTTCAAGTGTTTTATCTTTGATGATATCTAATTGCATGTTCTTGTTTATGTAGTACGTATAATTCCAATTAACTGAAAAGAACAAGAATGTCAACCATTTCCCTAATTAGTTGATCTACCCAAGTGCGTTTTGTGGTTTTAATTAATAATCTTGCATGCAAAACCCATGAATTTGGGATATCTTTCTTTCTGACAATTCATCATATAAGCGTGATCCAGTTTATAACGTGGTGGGATAAATATTGGATGCCTGATGAGCAAAAGTAGAGGTATCTAATATGGCATAGAAAGCAAAGGTTTTTGCTTTAACTTTCAAATCATCAAATATGCTTATGTAGAGACTCATGTTCAGCCAGAATAGAAATCTTATTATTGATTGTGGTTTGATCTTTTGTTTCCTTTTTCTTTAGTATTTAAGTCTTCTCGTAACTCACACAATCAACCAACATTGCAGTTTTGTTTAATAGTCTAAAATTCTTATATTCATCATATACACTGGGAGGTGTGGGGAAGTATATCTCAATATGAAATTAAGCTCATGTTTGATATTTGTGAATATACGAATACCTAATGTTTAGGTAAGTACTCATTAAAACCACCTGATTACACGATAAGAGTGTCTGTTTGTTGTCCATTTAAATGAATTTTGAAATTCATTGATGAACAAACACTGAAAGGCTTTGAAATCTTTCACTGTAAGAAATGATTTACATTGCTAGAAGTCAGGGGTAACTCAGAGTCTTTCCTCTATGCAAGGATATCTGCTGAGGAGTTGGCTGATCCTTGGATTCAGGGAATTTGTGAGCCAAGGAGGGCAAAATATCCTGTAAAGTTGATTTTCACCGTCCCATCATCATGCATTAGCAGGTAGAAAATTTCTAGGGTGAACTTGCTAATGCATGATGATGAATTTCCAGCCCATAAATATCCTAAATCGTGCGGTTAATCAGTACTTCTTTGGTGAATATATGGTTCTGCTGCACATTTTCACTTTAATGGACTGGCATTTGCTTTTTGTATGATACCATTTGGATAACACATTTGGGGGAAAAGCTTTCATTACTGTTTACTTAAATGAAAAACCACATTTTTACACCAAAAAGTCAATCCTGTACTATTCACTTTACCCTTTATTTTATCCTTAACGTTAAAACTCAAAGTTTTCAAGCCCTTTTTATTAGTTTTTCTTTATGTTTTTGGTTAAGGATCAAGGATGATTTTAAGTTTTGACCAAACGGAATGATGCTTTAAACTCGAACAAAAACTGACCCAACAGAATGAATGAATGGTGCTTTATATTCTGTCAGCATTTGCTTTTATGGCGTGTTGCTGTTTCCATTGAGCTAGAGACTCTGCCCCTGATTGCCATTGAGACTTAGCTTGCAAGTAAACCTAATAACAGTTCTTGATTTGTGCATTTGATTCTTATTTTCCCACACAAGCCATGAATTTTCTGACACAGAGAATGGCTCTTCACTTTGTAGCTAGTTGGCTGATCCTGGATTCAGGGAATTTGTGAGCCTATGAGGGCAAAAATATCCTGTGAAGCTGAGTTTCTCCATCCCATCATCATGCGTTAGCAGGTTCACCCTAGAAATTTCTCAACAGAAAATTGTTGCTAGTACGTGATGTTTAACCGTCATTACGCCCAACCCTCCCGGAGTCATTAGATTTTTGTGGTCATCAAGAGAATACGTGTCATCAGCTTGAAAGTATAATATTTATTTGGAATTATGCCCAGCATTTCAGATGGCGATGTGAATTGTCATACCTCTTTGGTAGACTTCGTGACGGTTCTCTTGGGTTTCCGACTTTGGTAACTTGTAGAATTGTGATCCCATCTATGAATGAATGATTTTGTAGATGTGAATCTTCCTTGCGAATTTTGCTCTTCTATTGTTTACCCTTGTGCTTTTGGTTTCTATTTGTATGGTAATTTGTGGACATTGTGCGTTGTTAGTTTTGCTGCAACTTCCTTCTACTTATAGGTCTCGTGGGTTCTTCCACCGCTTATGTCATTTCGTTAGGACTTTCGCCGTCTTTGAACCATCCTTTTGGGATAGTCTCGTAAGTGGTTTATCATTTCATGTATCATGAATGACAAAGTTATGATTTGAGCAAATTTTAAATAACCGAAAAGTGGCGGCAGAAAAAAAGATCAAAATAAGGAACCAAAAGTATTTTTAGAATTCGTCTGATCATTATTGGTGGTTGGAACATAGATGGGCAGATGAACAAACTGACTATTCCATACCTAACGTCAACAACCGCTGCATGCTTAGCACTTGAGAGAAAGTTGGTCATGTGTCAACGAGTTCTCTTCTCTTAATCCCTGAGGTCTTAGTCCTCCCTTCTTCCCATGAGCCTTGATTTCTCCTCTTTTCCTCGGCCGTAGTCGGGCCTTCTCTTGAGCCTGCATTACTTCTAGGAGCCGAAAAGGACCCTGTGTTAACAGTGGACTTGATGCATGTTCCCCAGAGAAGAAAAGAAAAATCGCTTCATCATATGCAAGATAACGAAATTGCTCTCTTAATTGGCTTTATATTTTTGGCGTTGCTTCTCCAAACGGTACGTACAAAATGCCAATTTGTCCATTGGTTTGGTTCGAGGGAGTACTCCTGAGGAGGTGGTTTGGAAATTAAACGTCAGAAGCGACTGAACTTGATGGAACCGAAGCCATCGATGTGGTATCACTTCTGATGTTTTCAGGCGATGTGCAACTTCTTTTTCACTTGGAACAACTAATTAATGCATTCTGGAAATTCACTCATCATCTTTTGAGGCGCTCCTTAATCCGAAAACCGAAAATAATTTTAGGGTATAGAGAGGGTAATATGATATCAAACAGAGATATAAATGGAAAGTCTCTTTGAATCACTCCAACCACCAATTCACCAACTTCATAAATAGTAAAATTGTCAACTCCCATATATCATCCATACTTAATAGTAAAGTAATTTAACTTCAGACAAAACCTGTAATTTGAGACGACACTTACATGCGTTCAACATCAAGTTCCCCATTCCTTTCCTCAAGAGTCATATTGTTTTAACTCAGCCATCCTTCGCAAGTCCCTCAAATATGCCTCTAAGTCCAGAAATTATTCTTTCTTGGGCTCCTCTTCCAATATATCATCCTCTCTCATTTTTTTTTCTCCATTTCTCACGTTGTTGGGGCTCAATGCACGGGCAATCTGTAGTCCAGTGCTCACCCAATACCATACAATAGGTACACAACTTGAGAGTAGCACGTCCTGTCCAGCCCCGGCGAGCAGGGTGGCCCCCCGGCCGAGCACAACAATCACACACTATTCCATACCTACCGTCAACAAGAGTCACCTCCAGAGGGTTTGAGATATGTATCATGTAAGGGCAACCAGCACTCGTGTGGTCTTTCTCCTTTCCACAAACTTCACAAGGACCATACCTAAGTTTTGCTGCTGCTAATTCTGCTTCCAAGTCCTTGTGCCCTTTCTTATTTCCTGCCATTATTAAATACCAAAAACAAAAAGAATAAAAATCGCATCAACGCCCATATTGTTCCCAACACATAAGATAAGGCACAACAACATGACATTAAGCTTAGCATAGCCATGCCGCCTGCTTAATATTATAGGGTTGGGGGATTTTATAACAAAGTTATCAATCATTTAATAATAGTTTAGGGCTTGTTTGGATGTATTTTAAAATGGCTGAAAGCGATTTTAGAAAGTGTTTATAGTTTCCAAAAGCGCTTTAAGTGTTTTCTGCAAGAATCACCAATTATGAAGCATTTAAGTGTTTTTTTTTCTTCAGGATTTGCTTATATTTTTACTAAGGATTTGTTCTAAAAATATTTTCACCAAAAGGGCTTTCAATCATTTTAAAAGCACATCCAAACGGACTCTTAATCTCTGTTACGACAACAAATAGTTACAACTGACACATACTCCAGGGTGGGAGTGCATTTTATCTGGTAGCAACGGAATTGAACTTCAAGGATAGTACGCAGATGGATATTTTATTTACATTAAACTATCCCTAAATAAATAAATGTAGCACTTTACAATTTATCTACATAAACCCCCTAAAAGAATCCAAATAGGTGCATAATAAACCCTAAACGAAAACTTACGATTACGAGTCCCTCTATTCCGCCCCTGAACCGATTCTAACTTGGCTTTCGCGTGGGCTTCTACTTCTCCGCCGATTGCGCGGCGGAACATGGCAACTCATTCCTGTACGCGGCCGACCACGGGAGCGGATCTCAAAGACCGGCGGATCATGGCTCTCTACGAGTGAGAGAGACCCTGAAACCCTTGCTATTGCTCGTTTTTGGAATTTGGATAATAACAGACGTTTATATCCTTTTGGGCCTGACTGGTGACCCATCTTTTGGGAGGTTCTCGAGCAGGATATTTATATATTCTTCCTATGAGGACCGGTGACCCATATTTTGCATAATAAAAATCGCCGCTCTTGGGTTCAATGCCCCTCCACGTCGGTGCCTGTCGACATCGTGGCCCGGAGGTGTATGTGGAACCTTATGTGGAGGGCCCTAAGAAGGGCTACGGCTACCAATTTGTTTGGATCAGGAGTCCACTGAAGATTGAACGCGTACACTTAGGAGGCTCATGTTTCATGTATTGTTTGCACTTTTACTTTCGCTAAACGATTCAAGTACAAATTTTACTAATTTTTTCATCACTGCATAGCTTATAATATGAAGCTTATCATATAAAAGCGAAAAAATACCATAAAGAGTCGTCACATCAAATTCGTAAACTTGTTTATTATCATATCTAATCGAGATTTTGAAGGAAACAGTATTCAAGACAACTAAAATATGTTAATCTTATCCAAGGAAATTCATGATCACCAAATGCAGCACCAAGTTGCAGAGAACAAAATCTGCAAAAGCCCGTTCCGGTGCTAAATCCTGCAGTCTTTACACGTATGGATCAGGATGACAGAATATGATGAGAAAGATGTGGAAAGTCGTGCAAGGGTTGCCTCTATTACTCTTCCAACCAGAAATCCAAATCCAAATACCCCACCTGCGTCGGCTTCTCCAAAACCCTCCAACAAGGTTTCTCTCTCTCTCTCTCTCTCTCTCTCTCTCCCCCCAAATTGATGAATGAATTTGATGGTCATGTTAATCCAATCACCCAAAAATAAAGGCTTGGTGCTTTTAATTCTGCTGCTACAATTTTTACAGGCACATTTGATGCTTGTACTTTATCATGCTGAAAAGAAAAGGCTGTCTCTTCATGGTGTATTTAATAGATAATTTCATAATTATATCTTTTTGGGTTTTTAATTTTATCTGAAACTTTTTATACTTTGTTATGCATCAATTAAGATTAAGATATGTGCTTATTCATGGTTTTATATGGCCAGTGCCGAGCTACATTGTGGGAGAAACCGAATTGGAGGCGTCTAAAGCAGACCGGACGCTTGCCCATTTTAAGTATGCCTGCGTTGGTTATTCTGTCTTCTTAGACAGCAAAGAAACTCCTACTGATCCACATAATAAACAAGCAGAATTATATCTTCACTCTTATCTCTTTTTCCTTGTTTCCCTGATTTGCAAAACTCATATTGGAATTTATCTGGTGGAATATCTGTATCACTTTTCTGTCCAAATAGGTTTCTTGTCCTTGTGTCCAAATTAAAAGTCTAATTACATAAATACTTCTAATACTCATATTTTTATGCTAAAGATCTTCTCATCAACTCGGTGGATTGTGACATAACTAGCTCGTGTCAGGTATTGTATGACAAAAAACCTGCAGGCCATACTCATGCTCCAACTCCTGCTCATAAAAGTGAAGGTGTGTTGAGTTTTTATTTTTATGTATCTTCTTCCTTTGTTAAGGGGAGGTGGTATGCCAATAAGGTTTTGATTCCATGAATGTCGAACAAATACATCTCTCCCATGAGGCACGGCTTTTACATTCCGTTTAATTTTATATAATAGCTATTGAGTCTGCGTGCTATATGGAACAGAATGTAGGGCAATTAGAAAACAACATTTTTAAAGTAAAGCCATGCTCAAATTTGTAAATGCCAGAAACCTATTTGGGAATGGTAGTAAACTAGCAATAGTTCGACATACACATTATGTCTCCACTGAACAGTATTAATATTTGGGAATGGTAGTAAACTAGCAAACTTTACCAAAGAACGAGATCCTGAGTTTGTATCCCTACACTTGCAACTTCAGTATCGATTGATTTCTACAAGAGAGACCCACATGTGATAAGAAGTCTTAGAAAGGATATGAAATAATTGATAGTTCATATGCTAACAGCTTAAGCTTCTCAGGTGTTTCTGGTGAACCAGCAAACTATTTTAATACATGAATACTAATTGTCAAAGTGATTGAGTTTTCTTATAGCATTCACTGCAATCTTGTTGATAACTTTTTGTGTCTCCTCTCAAGAAAACGGTCGGCCTATTCCTCAACCTCAAACCTACCAACCAGCACAGTCAACACGAGATGAATACCTCCACAGGTATGGCAGAAACTCGACTTAGCAGAAGAGAAAATGAGTTGTCAATGACATTTTTCCCATGATTTGTTATTTTAATTTCAGGTCTTGTTTGTTATCTTTCGACTTATGGTTCAAAAACCTTATATTTATATCTGCAGGTTTAAGAAGAATGCGGCACTAGTAGCATCAGGTGTTGCTCGAAATGTGAATAGAGTGGGAAACTACGTGAAACAGAGTGCGGATGACATTCTATACCCTTACAGGAGAAGGCCTAAGTAACAATTCTTCTATTGCAACAATAATTTATATCAATAGAAAATCTCAGTGCCTGAATCATGATCCCAGTTGTATAATCAAATTGAAAATCCCTTCCTCATTTCCCCTCCCTTCATTCCCTCACTTTCTCTGTGCTCGTATTGACAATATAGTCATCCCGGCGAAGGTTGAGTTTTTGCAGTTGAAATTTGTAATAATAGGGGCTGCTTGTAGTAGGTCTGCCATAGGTACACCTTGTTCCAACTTTTGTAATCACGAATACAAGACTAGCATGGTTGGTTGGAGATATGAACCCAGAAAACAGTGGGTTGAAGAGAAATACCTTAATCACGGGGCGAATCCACCGCTAGCTGAAGGGGTTTAAACATGAAAGGAACTTCTCCTTGTCCTCCAATGTGAGGGTTATTGCAGTGGATAAGTTTATTTTTGAGTAATCCATCATCTGCTTTGAAGTTAGACCCTAATTTTTTATTTCTTGCTTTAATACCATGAATCTAATGAAGTATCCATTCTATTTCAGTCCTAGAGACCAAAGCAAGACCTTGTGATACGGTATTATGATGTCAGCTCGTGATATTTTCACTCAAATTTTTGTAATGCGACACTTTTTTGAAAGAAAATTAAATTCATTTATACCGGTGCAAAAGGTATAAGCTAAATAGCTGCATCGAATATCATGGGTTGAGGTTTATCCTTAATTTCACCTTCTACCGACAGCATAGTTTGCATTGCGCCATTGCATTCCAACCGCACAAAGTCCTCTCAGCCACTTCAATTTGGTTAGTTATTTGTACTTGTCCACAGACCAAAGGGAGGGCACGTTGTTGGAATAACTTTAGTTAATTCAAATATTCTCCGTAGTTATAGAAAGGCTTTTTAGCCAAAATGGTTCCTGAGATTTGCATAACACATCATTTTGGTCCTTGGGATTTGGTCCTTGGGATTGAAAATCAATAGAAATTGTCCCTGAGATTGTCCACTATCCATTATTTTGGTCCTTCCATTAAAAACTTCATTAAGTGTCCCAGAGCTCTTGGCCGGAAGTTTGGGCAATTTTTAAAGCTTCGTAACTCAATCGTTTCTTAACCAAATTCGACCCATAATATATCAAAATGAAGATAGGAAAGTGTAGAACAAGATTATACCTATTTGGAAGCCCAATGGTTGTCGGAGATGACCGGAAAATAGCATGAAAGGTGACTGGTCCGTAGAAAAATTGGAAAACTCGCTCAAAACTGGATAAACTTTAAACGTTCATAACTTCTTCAATACTCAACGAAATCGAGTGATTCATAAACGAAAATCATACTTCTCAATGAGACGAAGAGAATGGTACCTTTAACAACGGCTAATTCACCGTGGTTTGGTCGAAAACGGCTTGAAAGTGGCTAACTCGAGACCAAGATAGCCACTTTTGAGCCATTTTGCAGCCAAACCACAACAATTAAGCCATTGAGATGCATCGGAGTCAATTACTATTCATTTGTGTGGATTAAATAGGCTGGGTGTCAGCTTATTTTTAGGGGTGGACTTGCTCTTAGGTGTTGGACTTCTTTCCAATTAAGTTCTTTACAACACGGTAAACCTTTTAGTTTTGCATTTGGCTTTGGAGAAATACAATATAAACTAAAAGAAATGGATGAAGTTAAAAGACCATCGTTTTAAACCATATTTTATAGATCACATGATGTAACAATGGTTGATGATTGGTTTAAACATTCAAAGAAGGAATCCAACCATCAATTGCCATATCATGTGATTTGTAAAATATGATCTAAAAATGATCTCTCTAGCATTTTCCAAAACAAAAATTATTATGATTAACCATCCATAAAAAATCTCCAAATTTTGAATTTAAAACAGGGTAGCGCTATCCACACATTTACTTTTCACCACCCTTCTTAATTCCGGCCATAGATCGAATAAATTAAAAAATCAATGACAAAAAATTACTTAAATGTGTGAAAAGTAAAAATGAGGATGTGAATAGGTATATATTAAGTTTGGAAGTACAACTGCAAGACTTGACTTGGGCAAAGGCTTGTAACGACCGAGACAGAGTCACAGGAAAGCATAAATATAATTTGCGTTTCCCCCAAGCAACCGCAAAACTACTTTCTCTTTTCGTTTTTCCTTCTTCTTAACGTCCTTCGGCCATCCACGTTTGTTCGCCGCCTCTCTCTTCCTCTCTCCAGTGGACCCCACTTCGATTATCATCTCTCCCCGAAAGATTTGAAGCAAATCCATGGCGCTCTGCAAGCGGGTGCTTCAAACCGGTGCCGAATCGGCGTTTCGCTTCTCCGGCTTCCGACGAAACTTCTATGCGCCTTCCTCGACGGGCAACAGCGGATACGGACTCATAAGCAGGCAGATTTCGCAGCTGGTCAAACCGAACGGAAACCGCGCGTTTCTTGTCGACACGCTGGCTCTGGTCAGGGGTTTGGAGGCCAAAGGCGTGCCGACGAAGCAGGCGGAGGCCATCACAGCTGCGATCACTGAAGTTCTGAACGATAGCTTGGAGAATGTAGCTCATGCTTTTGTATCTAAATCCGAAATGCAACAGGTAAAAAGCTGCTCCCCAACTGTTTGTTGATTTGCCTCAGTGGAGTGTGAGTTTAGAAGTTGTGCTTGTTTTGTTCGATGTTTTTACTGCTCATCTTGCGGTCTGATTTTGATGCGTTTTTTGTTTTTGGTATTTGTAGGCTGTAATGCTGCAAGAATCAAACCTGTCAAAGTTCAAATCCGAAGTACAGAGTTCACAGGTTCCAATAGATTTGCCCTTCCTTCTTCATAAAACTTAGCACTTCGAGAATAATTTATAGCTATTGAAGCAGTACTGCTACTGTTTTGGTATAGCGTTCCATGAAAGTTGCTGTCATATTACATGTCACCAAATGGAATTCAACATTGTTTGTTATGATAAAATAGACATGAGCTTTTGAAGTAGAGTAAAATTTGGTAATTTGCAATTTTTTAAAGGAATTGTTATTCGCACACCTAAATTCTCATTTTGTACTCCAAACTTTTTATATATAGAAAGAAAAATACACTTCTGAGGAGTGCACAATGAGTGCATAATGAGATTTTTGGGGTGCCAATAACAGTTTCCTTTTTTTTTTTAATATATATATATCAAAATTAGCAGGGCATGGATTTGTTCCCCATTCATCACCCTTCGTTCTTTATCAGAAATCGTATCTAGTTCTTTTGAGGTTGTTTAAACCTAATTCGATTTCCACATACATTTAACTTGAAATTCAATGAAGTTGAGGTAGCATAGCATGATTTTAGATTTATTAGACTTTTGAATGGTTTTAGTATTGAATAGTCCTATATATACAATACAAAAATTATCATTTTCTTATTCTAATTCATCGTTGTTTGGTCATAGGAGCATCATTTTACAGTGTTGCAACGTGAAACTGAAAAACTTCGTGGTGACATAGAGAAGATGCGCAGTGAATTGAGGTTTGTCTTCTGATGTATTATGTTTTTGGTTTCTACTGTCAAGGGAATTATTGACTCATAACTTATTATTCCAATACTGTTATTTTTCTTTGGGTTCTTAGTTCAATAGTTTGTTTACTGAAACAGGTACGAGATTGACAAAGTTACAGCAGGGCAGCGTTTGGATTTAAATCTTGAAAGAGGGTAAGTCAGTTTTCTTGTGTCTACAATTTTATTAGTCCGTTGGTACCATTGTAATAAGATTGTTTTTGTTTACACCCACTTTTCATCTTTGGACACCCATAAATTTTTCTTACTTTAATGACCATTGTATCCCATTATTAAGTTACTGAAAAATTAATGGAGAAAGGGCGGATGTTCAAGCCACCTCTGAATCCACTCAATTATCTCTCTCTCCCACCCACGGATGCAATCCCCCCACCACACCCTTTATCCTCTCTTTTTGTCTCCCTCTCGTCACATTTTATTACCCTTTTATCTCTCCTTCACCGGACTAATGGTGATCAGTGGCTCCTCCCATCTCCAGATCGGCGGAGTGGCAGACGGCTATGTTCCAGCCACCTGGGCTGTTGAGTTACCTTACAATAGAAGAAGAAGAATAGCCATTGTTTCTCCAATTTCTTTGTGCAATGGATCTTTTTGCCTTAGCCACACTTTTGGGTTGGGTGGGGATGGGGATTTGCTGTTGTTCGAGAAGAATAGGGGGAGGTTATTAGGGGTTGAGTTGGATTCACCAATGAAGGTGAGATGGGTGGTTGTGCAATTTTTTTGTTTCCTTCTATATTTTTTATGTAAGGTTGAATTTGGAATATTATAAGTTGAATGGGGTGTCCCGAGATGAAATTTGGGTGTAAACAGATTACTCTCGTAATAAATTAATAATTTCTGATTCATGATTGCAGGCGCATACGCGACGAGCTTGCCAATCAAAATGCAGAAACAACCAATCTCACAAATAAACTTGACCGAGTGAGCACTGGAAACTATTTGGTTTACATCAGTTGACTTATAACATAGGGTTTTATTAGAAATAATGATGTTGAACCTTGTTGACAGGAAATTCATGCATTAAGAGCACAGGTGGAAACTGCAAAATATGAGGTGATCAAATATTGCATAGGTACCTTGGTCTCCATAACTGCTGTTGGACTTGCTGTAGTTCGTATTTTCGTATAGGATTGTAGGTACGTTGATCATCGATGAGACACAGAAACTCGGAGGTCACTATTCTTTTCATGGCAATGTGATGCCTGTTACAGGGTTATATAGCCGATACAGACGTATGGTCATGGGAATTTGATGTTAGAACGAACAATTCAAAGTACTGTTACACATGTTTACAGTTCCAATGGTTATAGCTAATTTAATTTTTAATGGTAGATCTCACCCTTGAGTAGGCGAAAATCATTGGTGTAACTAGTTATTTATCACATGTTGTAGTGTCGCGTAACGTGAGAGATAGAAATTTGAATAAAAAGCAAGTTACAAGGTAAAATTCTTGCGTAAGTACTCTTGTAGCCACAGCCGTGACTGAGTCGAGAAGTAAAACATTACGACACCATAAAAAATTGAAAAGTTCAATTCTAACATCACAAGATCTACCAATCCATAGTTACAACACTATGGTTCCGAATTTTGTCAAAAAGAAACACATAAGTAAAGGAAAGGTAAATTGAACTCAGAATCTTGGCGCACGGTAAATATTGTGTGGCGGCTGGAGTACCGGAATGTTACACGGAACAGCATTGTCGAGAATTTTTTGAAGCTCATGTGCATCTAGAGCAGCTGCGATCCGGGCGTAACCAGGCCAGGTTTTACGGCCATCTGCTAGCTTAAACAAACACAAGTTCAACATGTCCGCCTTGTCGCTCACATCAACAGCTTCCAGATTCATGAGTTCGTCGGCCTTGTTGCTGGCCAACTTCAGTTCTTCTTGTCTCCTCGTCTCCTCCACTAGGGGATGATCAGCCATCTGCTTATGAATAGCGTACTCTCTCAAGGTATGAAGCGACACTGGTACATCTTGTGCTGCATCCATTCTAGGGTTTAGAAAACAATCAATAACATTTAATCAGTAACCTTAATTTGATGCAAATAAACATCAAATTTTCTGAATAATAAATTAACAAGAAACACACACACACACTACGCCAAAATCTCCTATTATTAACATTAAGACATAAAACAAATTGAACATACATACTTAAAAACTGGGCTACATCCATTGAGGTTAACAAAGACTAGTGTGGTCAGCCGTTGGTGGTTCGGGGTAGCAATAATAAGAACTAAATAACAAGATTTAAGTGATTCGCCCTAAAAAACTGGGCTATATCCATTGAGATGCTCAGATATATTGAATAAAGGTTGTAAGCCCTTAAAAACTAGGCTACATCCAATAAGGTATTCGTCCTCCTTATATAGTCCTTCAATGAGCCCCAATTCTCTGGGCTTGAGTTCTCCACTGCATTTGCATTTAATGAACCAAGTACATTGATGTGACCTGTGAGTTACCATTCCGTTCTTTAGTCGACACATGTGGCTAAGTGACACTCGTTCATATCCACTTGCATGTTTTCTTGAGCCAATGCATACCAAGTGCCTTTCAGCCCTAGGGTTGGTGGAAACTCATGCATGAGTACTTGATTTGTTAGCCTTTATGTCCCGTCATAGGCTTTTGCTCTCACAGCCATGCAACATGTGGCCTATGGTTAATGTCTGAGTAGGCATGCCCCTAAAACGTCGTGCTATAAAGTTGGCAGTATGCCAACTTGTTGCCAGTGATCGGAAAGTACTTTATCGGGAGGCGTTTAGCTTTATTGTTGGCAAGAAAACCAGATTGTTGGTCATCCATAGCATTCGGGATTGTTTTTCCCAGTTATGTTGGGCCTTGGTCTTCATTCCTTTGGGCCTTTGTCTTCCTTTGGACTTTTATCTTCCTTTAGGCATGTACAATTTTAGGGATCGAAAAGGATCCGGTGTTAATACTGATCCCACTAAGTTGAATTCCATAGCCAAATGGCCTATTCCCAATTTTGTGAAAGCTTTGGGAGGGTTCTTGGGGTTAACTGGGTATTATAGGAAATTTATTCCTCATTTTGGCAAGATCATAAGTCCATTGACTGCACTTACAAGAAAAGACAACTTCCAGTGGTCTGATGAAGCTACTATAGCTTTTAAAACTCTCAAATAAGCAATGTTATCTCTTCACGTTTTGGTATTACCGGATTTTACAAAGCCTTTTGTGATTGAAACTGATGCCTCAGGTCATGACATTGGTGTTGTGCTTCAACAAGAAGGAAAACCAATTGCTTTCACTAGTAAAGCACTTTGTCCTAGGAATCAAGTGTTATCTGTATATGAGAGACAGATGTTGGTAATTTTACATGCCATTCACAAGTGGCAGTCCTATGTAGTAGGGAATCATTTCATTATTCAAATTGATCACCACAATTTGAAATATTTCCTTCAAGGCAGGGCCTATACAAATGGGTTACCAAACTACTTGGATTCGACTATAAAATTCAATTTAAATAGGGTTGTAATAACCAAGCTGCTAATGCTTTATCAAGTTCTCCCTTGAATGTTACCAATCCTACTGATCAATTATTAGCAGATATGGAAGTATTGGCTATTTCTTACCCTTATTCTCAATGGTTGGATGATTTGAGAAGAGACATGGAAAGGGACCCTGTCGAAAGTTCAAAGCCTTATGTCTAAAGATGACAATGTCTATTTTGAAGTTTCAAGTGGATAATGGTCTTCTTAAATACAAGAATAGGATTGTTCTTAGTCCTACTAGTCAATGGAGAAGCGAAGTGTTCAATGAAAACCATGCAACACCCACTGCTGGTCATGGGGTTTTTTGAAGACTTATACGAGGATTTCCAGGTGCTTTTATTGGGAATGTATGAAGAAGTTTGTGAATGATATGGTAGCTTGTTGTTCAATATGTCAACAAAAGAAGGTGTGAGACTTTGTCTCCCCCTAGATTGTTGCATCCCTTGCCTCTACCAACCAAGATTTAGACCGACATTTCTATGGATTTCATTGTGGGCCTTCCCCCATGTAAAGGTAAATCTGTAATTTGGGTTGCTGTTGATAGATTTTCCAAATATGCTCATTTCATTGCCATTGGTCATCCGTATTCTGCATCCATGGTTGCTCAGCTCTTTGTCGATAATATTTTCAAATTACATGAAATACCCAATTCTATAGTAAGTGACAGAGATTCGGTGTTCTTAAGCAAATTTTGGAAAGAGTTTTTTCATCTTCAAGGTTCCTCTTATGCTTCAATTCTAGTTACCATCCTCAAACAAATGGTCAAATTGAGGTATTGAACAGATGTCTTGAAACATTTTTGAGATGCTTTTGTAGCTTGTAATCGAAGAAATGGGTATCATGGCTTCCTTGGGCAGAATGGTCTTTTAACACAAGTTTTCATTCTACAACCAAGATGACTCCATTTGAAATTGTATGTGGTCAAGCTCCACCAACAGTGCAGCTTATGAGAATGGCACTACTAAGGTTGATTCTGTGGATCAAGCTTTGAAGGACAAGGATCGAATTTTATCTTTACTCAAAAGTAATTTGGAAGCTGCTTAGTGTAGGATGAAGGTTCAAGCTAATAAATAGAGGTTTGAAATGGTATTTGAGGTGGGAGATTTGGTTTATCTGAGATTGGTGCCATACCAACATATATCCTTAACTTCTCATCCATTTCATAAACTACAACCAAAATTTTATGGTCCATTTCAAATATTGTCCAAAGTCAGTCCTGTAGCTTATAAGCTCAAATTATCAAATCATTCTAAACTTCACACTATATTCCATGTGTCTTGTTTAAAGAAACACTTGGGTTTGGATACACAGCCTATTGTTCCATTGCATGTCATCACAGATTCAAGTATTCTTCAGGATGTTCTCGTGGCAATCTTGGACAGAAGAATGGTGAAAAGAAACAATTTGCAGTGATTGAAGTTTTGGTGTAGTGGTAGAATTAGGGGTGTAACTTGGGTTGGGCCAATCCGAACCCGCCCATGTCTAACCCGATTTTAAACCCGAAGAATAAGGTTTTGTTTTAGTTATAACCCGTCCAAACCCAACCCAATTTCAACCCATTCATTGATTGGGTTGAGTTGGGTTGATCATTTGCCCGTCCATCCCCAACCTAACCCAACCTAACCCGACTAACCAAATCCAATCTAACTAGATTTTAACCCATATCAATTAATGCTCATACTACACCCAAGTGAGTCAAGTCCAAAAACCAACGAGCTTTCTAATATTTTTTTAATAAACTACCCTTTATAATTACTTAAGCTTTTAGGGAATAAGAGGCTATGATTAGTCAGCCCATATTAGTAGTTTCTAAATCCTAAAGCTTTATAGTAGATGGATTTATAAAATTAAAGTTGGCTAGCTTTGATGCTACTTGGCTTAATTTTTTTTAGGAATTCTTGGAAACTAAGTTGTTACAAGGTTAAACTTGAAAAAGTTGGGCAACCCGAACCCAACCCAAGTAAACCCTAACCCAATTAAACCCAAGCTCAAATGAAACCGAATGAAACCCAACCCGAATTCGAGCCTGAATTATAAAAGTTGGGTTAGGATTGGGTTGACTTTCCAACCCGCCCAGCCCGTCTGAGTTGCATCCCTAGGCAGAACCACTCTAAGGATGATGCTACTTCGGAAAAATATTAGGAGCTCAAGCTTAAGTTTCCAGAAATTGTGCAATTGTGATCAACTCTGTCAATGTTGTTGAGTTTTTTTATTGTATTGTGTTTTAGTTATGTTTTGAGGAAACACGTGTTTTAAGGGGAGTGGGGATATTGTTAGGATGTTAGGTGACATCATCTAAGATTGTACATTGGATATTAGTTAGTTAAGAGTTAGTTAGAGTTTGTTAGAAGCTGGAGTTCAGTATTAATAGAAGCTTGTAAGGAAAGAAAGGAAGTTAATGAATTGTATTGTTGTTTAGTTATACCTTGTCTTTGTGCCACCATTGAAGATGTGGAGCTAGGTTCTCATAAATAGAAAGTTTGTTTACATTTGAATAATTTGAAGTGAGAATCCATATCAAGTTAGGTGGAGGAGATGGTGAAGGTAGTGGTGGTAATCATGAGGGTAATGGGTGGAGAATGTTTTAATGGTGATGGTGGCGACGATGGTGGAAGGGGTGGTGGTGGTGCCTGTAGCGGTGGGATGGTGGAGGTGGTGATGGCTATGGTGGTTGAAGGTGATGATGGTGTCAAAAATGTTTTATTGGGGATTCATTGCAAGTATTTTAATGATGATTAGTCATGCCATGTGTGATTTGACCTACACAATCATTTTTTTTAACCTCAATTACGGCTCACCATTCTTTCAAATTGGCGTTTCAAGAATCAAGTTTCTTTTGGTCAACTAAATTTTTTAACAAAAACACGAGAAAGATCAATTTTTAAAACAAATTTGTAAACTAAATGATGTGTCACCAATTGAAAATAAACACGTTATTGACACTTAATTAATAATCTAATCATCCACAACCACATCATTTGGTTTACAAAATTTTGTTTAAAAATTTGGTCTCTCTAAAATTACCCAATTTCTAATGTTTCAAGATTCCACATCCATCAGATACTTAGTATACGGTCTAGTAGTATTCATCTTCACTTGTAAGTGAGAAGTTTTATGTTCGATTCTCGCAAAAGGCAAATTTGAATCAGATTATTGCTAGTCTATTATGAGACTAAGCCTAATTCCTTCTCATTGTAAGGCGAAGCCCACCCTCTTCGCTTTAGTATAGATAATATCATTTGTTAAAAAAATATTTAAAAAAAAAAAAAAACGATTGAAAGATTCCCCATCCATCAAAAACCGGAAGGTCCAAAGCTCCACTCAAACCCTAAATTTATATCAACCTTTCTCCATTAATTTTAAACCTGCAAAACAAATTAATAATACCTAATTGGATTCATAGTTTTATGTGATAATAAGAAAATCGGAAGATAGCTCATGTCTTAAAAAATTAGGATTTAAATCCTATGATGAGGTCTGTTAGGAATTAAGCCTAACATTAAAAGTTTCGTCAACTATCAATATTTTACATGTGAACTAAAATTTGTCTTTTTTTATTGCTTTTTTTAAAAAAAAAAAAGCAGCAATAAAAAATAAAAAAAAAAGCCCGGTTCAACATCAATCAAAAATCAAAACAAGAAAACTTCATACCTGTAAACCCCTTTCAATACTTTTGTGAGCCTAAAAAATTTCAATTCTCTCTCTCACTCAAACTCAAGTTGATTTCTCACAGAACCCTAACAACCTGCTGATCGTGATTTCATGGTTTCGTCGCTCCACTCTATGATTTCAATAGACAGTTTCAGTTCGATCCCAGTTCAAATTAGGAGGGACGCTGAATGACTTTCTTCTTTTCTTCCCTTTGGGTCTGAGGACTATGAACGCAGAATGAGTTAACGTAGAGTTTACGAAACTTAACATTGAGTTTACAAAACTTTTAATGTGAGGATCCCGCACTACCGATTAACGAAGAGTTTACGTAACTTTTAATGTTGGATTTAATTTCCATTTACGTAACTTTTAATGTTGAATTTAATTTCTAACAAATTTCATCACAGAGGTTTAAACCCTAATTTCTTTTACTACGGGGCCATGTAACAAGATGGAGACCATTAATTAATAATACAAGAAAAAGTATAGAGCTAAAACCTAAAACCATGGCTAAATTCTAAAAGCTTCCTAAAAGCCTAGTACTACCACCACTGCTACTACTGCCAACTACCAACAAAAATGTACAACACAATTGGGTCCATCCCATTCGATCCGGTTCAAGTGCACTATTCTCTAACTTTAACCCGTCAAAAACTCCGAATCATCCGGTTCAACCGCGGTTCGGGCTCGCCAATCTCTTTCCTCTTCCTCATCTCCAACACCTTACGGTGACTATTCGAGTGGACATCACCGGAGAAAGTCGGGCTACAAGCCGGCCTATACTCCGGGAAAAGCCGGCCAGACTTGAACCGAACGCCGCACGCATTACACAACGTTTTAGGACCAAGCGGACCAGTTCTCCATTGTGGAGTCTTCTGAACTTGGCAATGACTACACCTCCGCTGAAACTGTCCCCCAATTGAACCCTCCCCTGTTTGGACCGCCGGTTTTTTCTTTTGTTTCTTAGCCGCCGGTTCACCAACAAATACGTGCATGCTTTGAACCGGGTTGATGATAAGACAAGGGGTTGAAAATGAAAACCCCGAACCCGAAGAAGAAGAAGGCGACGACGGTGAAGATGAAGAGGACAAGGACCAATCCCGGCTGGCGAGTCTGCAACGTTTGGTTCTAGGTTTGACCGGAACTTCAAAAGGAAACAGAGAAGCTCTTAATTGAGCCGGTTTGGGTTCCGGTTCAGACCGGTTCGCAGGAAGAGCTTCCGGTTTTTGGACACCAATTGTGTGTAATAGAGAGAGGTCCGGGAGAGAATCGTCCACAAAATGAGAAACCCATTCAAGCTCTGCTAAATCATCGTCCTGTAAATTAGCCCAAAACCCAAAATTTAATTTCAAAATGTTACATAATTTAAAAGAGAATTAAACAAAAAATTGTCAATTCAAAAGATTGTTACCGGAACTAAGAGCTGGGTTGCCAGACCGGAGTCGGAGTCAGCCAAGACCGAATTGCTTGAATTGGAAGTTTCATCATCCACAGAAACTGAGTCTCTTTCTTCTCCTTCTTCTTCAACGGACCCGTCTCCGAATTCGCCATTGGAGAGGTCAAGAAGGTCATCCACTGAAAAATCCTCACAGGGCACACCAGAAATTCCAGTAGCACACCAAAGTTCCTCCAACAGAACATGCTGGGTCGACTTCACGGCCAGTTCTCTGCGCAGACTCGATTTCAAGGCCCTTGCTTCCATGCAGTACTCCATTATTATTAATAGTACAACAAGTATATGTGTAGTAGTACCTGGTGCTGGTGAGAGAGGAAGAAGAAGGAGAGACGGATAAAAACTGTGGGGCGGGGTGGTGTGGATGATTGATGGGGTCAGCGACTCACAGTGTGTTGGGTTAAAAGCACTGAAATAAAGGCTGGTTTGTGAGCGAAGCAAGTGCCTGAGTCATTGGTTTTATCTCTTTCTCAGTGTCCGTTTCCTATTTATTTTGAATTTTGGAGTCAATTCAACTAAATGAATTATAAATTTGATCCTTCCATTGTAGTGGTATTTCCACTTTGAACCTCTAATTTTTGTTCGTCTCAAGTTGATCTCAAATTTATTATTTTTAGTTACGCCTTCTGAAACTCGATTTTAGTCTCACTTTATTTTTTATTACTCAAAGGTTGTCCTTTACTCCGTGAAACTCAAAGTTCGCATTACTTTGCCCGCTAGAACTCGATTTTTATCTTATTTTGCCTCTGAAACTTGAAAGTCATCTTTATAAAATTTCAAAATTTGCTTCACATTACCTTAGATCTTTTAATTTCTTATGAGGTTTGATTTGGATGTGTCAAGCTAATCAATTTCTTTTAAACTGGATATACTCTGATTGTTGAATGTAAATACATAATGGAGATTTATAATCAAATTTATTGCACATGTGACATAGTCTTATTGAGTGTTGTGTCCCACATATATTTTAGGAGTCAATCTATATGTTTGAAGGAGAAGAGAAAGTCAAGAGTTAAAAGGGAACAAATTCTGAGTTTAAGGGAGCGGTGACTTTTAAGCTACAGAGGCAAAATAAGATCAAAATAGTGTTCCAGGGAGTGTAGCTAAGAACAAGCCATTATTTTTAAAGTGCATTTTTGTTCACCACCATAATTATGGTGTATGCTCACCATACCATACACCTAACCATTTGTCATGTGTCCTTTAACCTAACTTTAGTTAACTTTCACATTAAATATTACTTTTTCGATTTTGAAAAAAAATACCAAGGTTAAGTGAGAGGCCACACAATAGGTGATTATGTATATAGTAAGTATACAATGGTGAGTTAAAATGCTCCCTTATGTTTATTTGAAAAGATTTTAGTGTTGATGAATGGGGTAGTCGCACAAATGAATAATTATAATTTAGTATTAAATTTTTAATTCATAAGAGTCGAATTTAAGATTTTTTTTTTTATAATTAAAAATGAATACTATAGTTTAACAATTAATAAGATTTGAAATGTGTTAAATGAGAACACTGACAAGAGTTTGAAAATTTTGATAAGGTTTGTGGTGGGGCAATTAGTTGATGCCTTTTGTTTTTTATCAAAAAGATTATGCCCTTTTTAAAGTTGGAACATAATGCACTCGCACTTAATCATGTAACACCAAAATGACTTAAGAAACGTGCAAAAAAATACTCATATATCATTTGATCAAGTCAATTACTATTTCATTAGTTGAATATGCGCCACAAATAAGACCACAAAATATAATATTATTAAACAAACAAGAATGTCGAAATGGCTACAAAACTCTAAAAAACTACATTGTGAATGACTTATTATCTCTGAATTGCAAAGTTCTCTATTTATAATAAATTAACCATAGTGCCTAATAAGCAAGGAAATGAAAATCTAATTCTAATGGATTAAGCCCAAATCTAAATACTAAATAAATAACTATTTTCCAACAATTACTATAAAAAAAAGAAGGTGGGTTACTACTAAACGTAAAAACTAGTTTTTGACGGTTTAGATACTTTCAATATGAACTATAAACAACTTCAAACAAGACGGGCTCATTTTGATTTGGTTCGTTTTGATTGTATTTCACTGTAAATATTTTCATGTGGACTTAAGACGTTTGGTTTTCAAAATACATGGGTTATCAAACTTATTTCATAAGTGGTCACGTGCCATTATGTCATAGTGTTTGCACATTTAAAAGTTTATGGACTAATTTGGAACGGAAAAAAAAAAAAAAAAGATACCAAAGAGAAAAACAAATCAAAAGTTTTAGGGGCAATTCTAAAATAAAATATTTAAATTAAATACTGGGGAGGGGTTGTGACTCGGCGTGTTTTTGGTGTCTGCGCGTGACATATGGCTGTCCGGCTCTGTCCGGCTGACTATTCTAGGTCTCAACGGGTTGGCATGTTTGGCCTATCCGGACCAAGTCCATATCCACATTCCACATTCCACATTCCCATTTGAGCTTGACCATGACCATGCCCACCAATGACCATCATCGCACTGGTTCCATTCCATGACACTTCAAATTCTAGGATCCTTCGGTTCCAACTTTTTTAAGCCCTCTAAATTGAAAATTCGTATCTTAATTTGAAACCGTTATACCGCGTCATTGTACTGCAATCACATGATTAATTACAATGGTTTACGAGTTTTTGCAAACTTTTACACAAAGTACTTTTAATCAAAAAATATAAAAACTAATATATACATGTGTGTTATCACTCATTAATTTCACTAATTATCGTTTATGTTCGAAATTTGTTACCATTTAACAATCAAACTATATTTTTCAAAACAAGTAGAATATAAACATAGAAGAGTTCATTCATGTTAAAAGTACTAATTTCATTTTCACATCCGATATAAATCTTAATGGTGACTTATTATGATTAGAGCTCTAATGTTCGATATTCTCTCCAAACTATCAAGAATCAAGAAATTCGAATGTTTGAATGAGCGGTGGGTATTGCCTTGATTGGTGGTGACAGTGGGTTATGCTGGGATTTGGGCGCTAGGATCATTCAAAGTTCAAACAAAACGAAACCAAAGTCAACCATCCAGGAAACTCCATTCATTTAGTCCTGGACATTCGCCACCGGCATTCAAGTTATTTACGAGATTGGGAAGGAATGGGATTACTTGTCCGCGTTAATTCGCGCATCTTTTTCTCCGTAATTTCCAACGTCTTTCCCGCTGTTAAAACTTTCAAATTTGAGGCTAATGATGGCATTGATTGATAGCTAATCCACCCACTTCCTAAAAAGCTAAAGGGCCTCATTTATCAACTCGGATTGTACTGACTATTTTAATCAAATAGAATAAATAGTCGTCAAATAGTACTGACTAAATTAGTCCAGCATTTTGTGCAATATCGGACTAATGACGTATTAAGAGGTTTGATTATATTTTATTTTCTAATAACTTGTTATTAGTATTTTTTGAATGACAATTCAAATTAAAATAAATAAATAAATTTCACAAAAAAAAAAATCAAAACAAAAGTAACCGAGAGAAAAATGAACAGGGAAGACGAAGTGCTCAAAGATTTGAGATCCTTTTGAAACCCTTACCAAAACGAGAATCACAAACTGATCCATCAAATAGAAAAAAATCACAAAATAAAGGATACAAGAAAGGGAGAGGAAAATTGCAAGAAGAGGAAGACGATGAAGATGAAACAAGAAAACACCCATGAGGAAGATGATGCAATCATGGTGTGAGCGGGAGTGGTTTTGCTGATTTAGGTTTGAATCTCCAGCAGTAGATGCGAAATGACAGAGTAGATGCGAAAGGAGGCAGATTCTCTCCCCTCCTACTTCCCGTGTCCTTCTGTTTTGTGTGGTCACGGTTAAGCCATGTCAACATTTTATATTGTTTTTTTTTTATAGAGATAATAAGACAAAAATGAATAGTAATATAAAATGTTGACGTGGCTTAATCGTTACTACACAAACAGGAGGGCACGAGAAGTGGGAGGGCAGAAAATCTGCCTTTGATGCGAAAAGGGTGCGAAGCGTGTTTTTTAGTTTTAAGGCCGACTAATTATATCGAGTTTTTTTAGTGTACTAACTAGCAGGTATGAGGCATACTAATCAATTTGGACTAGATTCGTTAATCCGGGGACTATTTAGTACATAAGTCTCCAAACACCAGCCTCTGTATTATTAATCCTATCTGATACATAATATGGTTTGCCAAACGAGGCCTTTAAGAGTTTATTTGTATCATTTATCTAATAGAGTTGGGGCAATAATACATGTGGGTCCTATCTTTATTAGAGAGATGATATATATGGTGGTACATATAATGGTAAAAATAACATTTTTATTGGAAAGATGAAATAAACTTATGAAAGCCAAGTGCTCCGGCCCATCTTACATGTTAGAGAAGTACGGTGCGTAATGATAGATATTTTAATCCAATATATAAGGTAGTACACCTCATATTATAATATAAATGCATAAATATTGAAAAATATACACTAAAGTATGACATATCAACCATTTCATCTACTTATATTGTCATACATGGTGTACCACTTTATATTTTGGGTACACATAACATTTTGTAGTCGAACAACATGGACTTCTATGCTTGTAGTTGGCTTTTATTTTATTTCTTTAATAACGATATTTTATACTAATCTACACTAAACAGAAGATTATGCCAAGTAAATTTTTTCTACACAATATTGTTGTGACATCCCACATCGTCCAGGGGAGTGATCCTTATATGTATATTCTCATCCCTACCTAGCACGATGCCTTTTGGGAGCTCACTGGCTTTGGGTTCTGTAGGAACTCCGAAGTTAAGCGAGAAGGGGGTTAGAGCAATCCCATGATGGGTGATCCATTGGAAAGTTGCTCGTGAGTTCTCAAAAACAAAACCGTGAGGGAATGGTAAGCCCAAAGCGAACAATATCGTGCTACAGTGGTGGAGCGGGCCCGGGAAGTGATCTGTCCCGGGTTGGGATGTGACAATTGGTATCAGAGCCTAACCCTGGCCGCGTGTGTGCTGACGAGGATGTCGGGCCCCTAAGGGGGGTGGATTGTGACATCCCACATCGCCCAGGGGAGTGATCCTTATATATATTCCCATCCCTACCTAGCATGAGGCCTTTTGGGAACTCACTGGCTTCGGGTTTTGTAGGAACTTCGAAGTTAAGCGAGAAGGGGGCTAGAGCAATCCTATGATGGGTGACCCACTGGGAAGTTGCTCGTGAGTTCCCAAAAACAAAACTGTGAGGGAATGGTAAGTCCAAAGCAAACAATATCATGCTACAGTAGTGGAGCGGGCCTGGGAAATGATTTGCTTTGGGCTGGGATGTGACAATTGTCATGTCACATTGAAGCTACCATACTCACTATCAATAATTGAAAAAATTAATGCTATTTAAATGACTAAGTAGCTACTATGAGGTTGGGAGAGAGTACGCGAGGGAGCGGT